TTAGTGCGGACACCGTGCGTCGACGATTGACGAGCAGACACCTCCACTGTCACAGGCCACACCGAGGACCTATTCTGACATCACGTCATCGCCGGGACCGTCTTCAGTGGCCAACACAGCACCAGCATTGGCGCCACCAGCAGTGGAGAAGAGTCCCCTTCTCAGACGAGAGCCGTTACTGTATCTCAAAGCAGATGGCAGAAAGAGAGAGAGTCTGCCGACGCCGTGGGGATGCTTGTATTGTTGCGAGAGACTCGTAGGGTGGTCCGAGCACCATAGTGTGGGGTAGAATTGGTCTTGCACAGAGTGGTCTTCCAAAATATCGGTCCTGGGAGAGGTAATGGTGTCACAGCAGCTCGGTAAATTGATCAAATCTTAAGACCACACGCCATACCTCGTTTGGCACACCGACAACTACAGCTGAACTGCGCCAGGCGTTCCTCAGAGGGTGGGCTCAAGTGTCTGTGGCCTTCATCTAGTGCCTCATCCATTCCATGTATCGACTTTGCCCGGCAGTCATCAATGCACATGGCGAACACACGAGATACTGATTTGTTATGCCATTTTCTCTGAGATTAGTGTTGCGTTTCGCTTTGAGGACAGTTGACACTTTAAGGTCAACCTTGATGATCAGTTTTGCCAAGTTTCATCTTTTTGATATTTCTCATAGTATGTTTACAGTGTTTGGACAAATAAGGTTTCTCACATATATATCCATGGTGATGTTTCTTTTGCGGTTCATTATAGACCTTTTGGTAATTTGCAACTAGATTTCACGTTTGTGCAATGCGTTTTGGCAACAGAATTGTAGGAATAAAAACTAGCAACATATCGTTTCTCTGCGTCTCAGAGCTTGATTAAGTTCATCTAAATTCGATGTAAACACGGACGAATAAAGTTCACAGAGAGAAACTGACTCGAAAACAGCCATGACGTTTCCACAATCAGAACATTTTAAACATTAACTTCCAACAATGTCCTTACAGGGTAAAATAGATATCTTATACTGATAACGTCTTATATTCTATAGAAAACATTCATTTTGAAACGAATCCATGCATTTTGTCATATAACATTGTTAAATGTGAAATTTCATTTAAGGATTTGTTGACGTTCATCGAAGCGCGAAGCGCTTCATTTGAAATTTGCTAACGTGAGGCACTGTCTTGATCAGCTGATGAACGTCAACAAATACAACTTCAATCCTTAGATTGGCAGATACATAAATCATAACAAAACAATCCATTAAACATCAAACTTTAATGTTTGAAAGCGAACTATATCAACGCGGAGAGTCGTGACGTCGTGATGTCACCCGTCCCAAACATTCCAATTGGAGTGACATCTCTTGGTTTTACAAACGGCAGAAAATGGCAGCCACCGCAATGTCATTCGCTTGAAATGCAAGTTGCATCCAGTAAAGTTAGCATTGGAATTGGAAACAAATCCAGACCCGTCTCATGGTGATAGTGGATACATATTAACGTTCTGTGTACTTTTGGTGTGTGTTTGAGTCATACTACGGCTGCTGATGACGGTGATAACTGCTTGATGCGGCGCGGTTGGATTTACTGAGGCACGACAGTGTTGAGCTCGGGGATTTCTTTTGGTTAGTCGAGCATTCTTTGTTATAGCTTCGAATGGACACTTCAGTTCGGTGACCCGACATACACAGTCATGATCTGTCTGACTTCAAAGCCTGCATCATTCATAGCCTAAATCGATGTCGCTCTCAGTTTTCCCTATTTCTTTTTAATGTTAATTTCTGTATGTCTCCGCGCGATTGACACGCGAGTGATCACGTGACATACTGACGTTCATCGGGAAATGAACGACAGTCAGCTTGGCAGTGTTCACCTAGGCGAGGTCACCCGCTACTGTCAAAATTGTCAAATGTCTTCACTCAACTTGCTTGTGAACCATCACAATGACGATTGCTTTAGGTCACAGACTTATTAATCACCCAAGTGGGAAAGACCTCCGTGTGTGCACCTTTTTAATAGAAAGAAGAAACAAGTAACAAGTTGCTTCAAATGTGTGTGTGGATGTTCCGTATTATTTTCCACAGTCAAAGCATTATTTAATTTCTATTATCGGGGTGACAGTATGTATGATGTGATCATTTAGTGATTGTATTTCACTGATAATATTTATAATTAACCAGATTCTTATGATATAATAAGGAATTCCAACGTATTTTCCGTATGTTTAACTTTTTATGAGCGTTGCCCTTTTCTAATGATTTTGAGATTGTCACCGTTGTCAATTTTAATGTCACATGTACATCGTTCTGCAGATAAGATATAAACTGGGCGGCGAAAGAAAGTATAGGTCGAGTTCCATGATCGATAAAAAAATAACAAGAAGAAGTTTTGTTGTGAATAATAATATAATCTACGGAGGGGTAACAAATGATTGATCAACCACAGTTGGAATGAAATTGTGAATCATGTAATGTAAGCTCAAGGTAAACAATGGTGGGGTAAGAAGTTTCATTTTCAAAAGTTGTCTGAAATGTCACCAAAACATTGTCAGACGCACTACAAGTTCATTGTCGACACAGCTGCCTTCAATAGAGTACTAGTGTATGACCTCCAGCTGCCTCAATGCATGCTGTGATACGCCGCCTCATCCAAGACGTCAGTCTTCTGATGACGTTGACTGGAATCCGTTGCCACTCGTCTCTCAGGGCCTGCTGCAATTCTTGTCTGATGACGGGGGCTGATGGCGTGCTCTAATCTGTCTGTCAAGATGGACCCACAGATGTTCAAAAGGATTCATATCGGATGAGTGGGCAGGCCAGGGCAAAACGTCAACGTTCTGCTGGTTTAGAAAGTTCCGAGTCAGTCTTGCAGTATGGTGCCTGGCATTGTCGTGTTGAAACAATGTCCCCTGCTGTTGGTTTTGTAAGAACGGAAGCACAAGTGGCTGCAACACTTGGTCTCTGTACTGCACAGCGTTCAGGTTTCCCTGTATAATCACAAAAATTACTCTTCTGATCTCAACAAATACCGCCCCACACCATCTCACCTCCCCCGCCGAATGGATGGACCTCTCGAATACACGCCGGAGCCAAACGTTCCCGTCTGCGTCGATAAACTCGTTCTCTGCCGTCATTTCGAAACAAGTGAAACCGACTTTCATCAGTAAACAGCACTCGACGCCAATTTCTCACTTGCAAGCGTCCAACCTGCCTCGCCAATCGCAGTCTGAGGCGTCGATGTTAAGGAGTCAGTACCATTCCTCGGAAAGGACGATACGCTCGAATTCCAGCAGCACGAAGTCGTCGTAGTACTGTACGTTGGCTAATGGGATGTCCCAACGCTGGCTACTGTCAATGGTGTACAAACAAACCTTCTGGCAATTTGGACCTGTGTGGCCCCCATTTCGGCCATACCGATGGCTCTCCTCTCTGCTCCTGTGCCGTCATTTCGAAACAAGTAAAACCGACTTTCATCAGTAAACAGCACTCGACGCCAATTTCTCACTTGCAAGCGTCCAAGCTGCCTCGCCAATCGCAGTCTGAGGCGTCGATGTTAAGGAGTCAGTACCATTCCTCGGAAAGGACGATACGCTCGAATTCCAGCAGCACGAAGTCGTCGTAGTACTGTACGTTGGCTAATGGGATGTCCCAACGCTGGCTACTGTCAATGGTGTACAAACAAACCTTCTGGCAATTTGGACCTGTGTGGCCCCCATTTCGGCCATACCGATGGCTCTCCTCTCTGCTCCTGTGACAGTCGTGACATGTCTTTTGTGTGCTTTCATCACGTGTGGTTATACCCTGCAGACGAACGCATTCATACAGCTAACATGCACGTGCAATTTATGCTATAAGCGGGAAACCGCCATTACCGCCATTACACCATACACCATACACCATTTTTTTGTCACCGCACGAGCGCCGTCAAAGGTGGCGCGTTCGGGTGAGGTGTTTTTTGGTCCCTGTTCCTGGGCAGTCTTATTCCCAATACCCACTTTCCACTAGTTATCGCTGTTTTTAGGAAAATTACAAATGGCCAAACTATACTTTCTTTTGCGGCTTAGTTTATTTGATACGCGAAATCGCCCATGCTCTGAACGACAAATTTCAGCTACGGGGTAACCAATCCTCAAAGTCGTCCAGAAACAGGAAAATTCAGCACTAAAATATAATATTTATACGTGAGACCCTTGTTCCAATAGCAATGACCAATGACAGCTCAAGAAAGCAAGAAACCAGTAGAGGCTGATGCTTGATTGACAATATCAACCAAGAAAAGGGCGGAGCTTGATAATATTGTTTGGTTTTCCTTATCTAAAATGTTGATTGAGGTGTAGATCACAACATGTGACGGGTATTGCCTTTGGGTGGGGAAAGTGTGTACAGAACACCACAGAAGACCGACTCATATGGACGTGTATCTCTAGGTAAGCGGATCTTACTTTTTTGTATAGTTTGCTATGAATGTCCATGTTATCAAATCGACAACTAAAACATGTTTTCCAAGAGTGAAATATTTGACACACTATCCTTGTTAGACTGAATAATTCAATAGTCTTCGATCTTCATATATTCAGATCTAACCACTTAATTGATCATAATGGTTATCTTTTTTCAGTGATTTCAGCGGCGTAAAAATGAGACTTTTGCGGAATTTTGCGTTGTTAACCATCTACCTTTGCTGGCATGCAGAAAGTCTCAGTTCTACTAGGTATGGTATCCATCTCTCTCTCTCTCTCTCTCTCTCTCTCTCTCTCTCTCTCTCTCTCTCTCTCTCTCTCTCACTCAGATCTCTCTCTATATCAAAATGTGTCTTTGTGTTCTTTATATAATATCAAAAGGCTATTCTAAATCTTTCTTCTGCATTCAAAAGCAAAAATGCACAAGGGTAGAATTAAAATGGCGGACTCGGTTTCGCGAGTATTGAACTACAAGGGACGTACGAACAAATGACAATATTCCTTTTGAATCAACACAATTTTTCTGTTTCAGTAAAAACGTTAGTCATCACACATGTACAGTAACAGCCAAGGTTTCATCCCCGGAAAAACACCTCCGTGCCTGTCATAACGGGCATGGGGGCTCGTGCGCTTATTATAGACAAAGGTATGTGCACAATGATGTATTATTAAACTATTGGACCACATGTTCTTTGTATTCTACTGTGACTAAAAGATTTCAATTTTAAATTAGACATCCTTCCAATTAACTCCTTCCAACTCAATGCAATTGATGCAATTATCATAAAGGCTTCAAATAGTGTCTAGGAATATCATTGCAAAGCAAGTTTGTTTCACTATTAGCGTTTGTAATTTATAGAATGAGTCGTCAAGTTTAAATGTACACATAACAAAAGTGACAATTTGATTTGTAACTCAATTACACATTAGATATAAGACATCGAGATACGTCGATTTCCTGCGTTCAGATATCTGAGAATACATCTGAAATGCCCCAATTTCCATAGTATTGTAATTGTTCAGTTAACAATTCATCTATTTGATCACAGCTACTTATTTCCTTGATTTCATATGATAAGTTATATGTTTACGCTTATAACATCCACATGGATGCAATGTGGGAAGCCGGATTCTGTTGTCCCCCGCCATGATATTTATTGCTAAAGCGGCGTAAAACCATACTCACTCACACACTCCAATTATGCATTTTGCAGGTATATCATAAAATCAAATACAGTCTATGAGTGCTGTCCAGGATGGAAGTCTTCTAACAACATTGACTGCAACTTAGGTATTGATGTATAGCCTTGCGTATCACATTCCCACACCTATTCTATAAACGACTTTTAAAAGTGACCATTAATTATGTGGTCTGGGCGCCTAAATCTATTCATCATTGTAAGAAGATGCCACAGAATACTAGATTGCGGTGTCAATCGTACGTATAATATAATATACAATCAACTTATGTCCGATTATACAATAGACACACTATACTCTCTTACGAAAATATTATGTGGTATTCAGATAACAGTGCAGACCCGTCATCCTGCTGATTTTCTTTTCTTTGAAGAAAAGTGACTTTATTTCGTTAGCAACAAGTTTTGGTTTGCTTTCTAGCTGTGCTATCAACCGGTTGTGACTGTTGCTCTTGTACGTTTCGAGAGTAGCCTATCTATGACATATCCGGGAGTGAGTGTTTATATTGTATGGATTTCCAGTAGGTGATCAGAGATTACCACCATGGTCATGCTGACTGATAATACTGTACCTTTCTGTACTAGCCAGTCTCTGATGATATCCTTGTATAACACATTATATTGTATGTTAATCTGGTAGCCGTTCAGTGTCCGTTAGTGACTGCTTACATTGTATGGTTCTGAATTGACGTACATGTGGAAGTACCCTGGTGGTGACTGGTTCATTTGTACTTTTCGGCAGTAGCCAAAATATGATAACATCAGGGAGTGGCTGATTCTATTGTACGTTTCTGAAGTTAACAATAACGACGACTTGGAGTTGTTTAACGTACACTACAACACAGCAGGGAGAATACACCATGAGTGGCGCACCCCGATAAGATAATTCTTCCTGCAGTGTTTTCTTGTTTGATAGACAATGGCCACGAGTCGTCTATTTTCTGTGTGCATTAAGTGGAGCCTCTAAAAGGATGTCAGAAAAAAGAACACGCTTTAAAAAACACATACTTACCCGTATTTAGATAATGATGACTCCTTGAATAGAATCCGACCGCGGCAATGTCCATTTTATGAACAGAGGGATTTTTCCCATCTTTCCCGCATATTTGCACGTCGATTCTCTGTAACCGATTGTCATATCTCTCCCACTTTTGGAAGCGGTCGTTCGGTCATTGCATGGGTCAACGGTGCCAAGATCATCTAAAGAAAACAACTTACAAGAAACTTCCCTCTTACAAATAGCGTCGTCAAATAATACGACGTCTTCAAGTTGCGAATATCCAGGAACTATGCTATGATATAACAATGTTTTATCGATTTATCGTGAAGCTATATATATATAATATATCATAAGTCATTGTTGTATGGATATGTAATAGGCGATCAATGATAAGATCGAGGAGTGATGTACACGACCACGAATGGCAACTGGTATTCTTCCAACCATAAGTTATAACATGTTTGAAATAAGGAGATAACATTTTAATGCAAAATGTCATAAATGACACATCTCCCTTTAAGAGAAGATTTCCTCATTGAAACACCATGGCGTTACCCTCTTGTCTCCTCCAGCCATCTGTTACGGCAAGGACAACACTAACGGAGCCTGTAACCAGAGAGGAAGCTGCGTTGCACCAAACAGGTGTTCCTGTCACACTGGATATACTGGATCACAATGTGGTAAGCACGTGGTGTTCTTCTCATACTACGTTTATTGAGAGTGAATCTGTTTGGTTTCAGAACGAATTAATGGTCGTGTCACATTTGGTCAGAAATAAGCTGCAATCTTCGTTTTCTGTCAGGAGTATGTGTTAGGGTTAGAGTGTTGCTGATTTGGTGTGGGTCTGACTGCCAGTATTTACGAGAATGGGTTGTTATTGGTTCCCTGTCAACAGGGTATCGAGGGGTGTGCTGCCTGCTAGCGTCGCCAACTTGCCAACTAAAGAGTTGCAGTATATTGTGAAGCCTTAGGCCGTGAAGCCTCAGTGATTCGGCGTTGGGTCGGGTTCTTAGTGTTTGCGTGGATGGGTTGTTATCGGCTCCTTGTCCACTGGCTCTTAAGGTAGTAGGCATTAGGGCTATGCTTCGTCCGTAACGGTCATAATGTGGTTAGTGTCAAGTCTAACACATATGTTGAGATCAATATCTACATGTTTTAATGTCACATGAGGTTGCGTGAGGTGACATGATGTTTTACGTCGCGTTCAAGATTATTGCACTAATATTGTGACGTGCATGCACGTGTACGTGCCTGTGTGACTGCTTGTCCAGGCTAATGCCGATTTTATAGTGCTAGCCCATTGAGTTTAACATGAATACCCCACTCATAAACAATTTACTGACTCCGGGCCGACCAGTCCTTTTTATAGCCCCTTTAAGCCGAGCGTCAGACAGGGTAACAATACATATCATTTTGTAACGCATTTTGGTATGACGCGGCCGGGGATCGAACCCCCTTCTGCTGTCCTGGCCGACGCTCTACTACAAGACCACGGAGGTCTCGTGTCACATGAATTGTGCTTGATCTGAATGTGGTGATCGTGAGATATAGTACATGTGCTTTTTACACTGAGTATACTAGCGAAATATGTGAAGGCGATTGACACTCTCCGGGCAGTAAAAGTTTGACAACATGCGATAACCGTAAGTGCTGGAATTGGTCAAAGTGGTAACTAAGAGATATTCGCGTTATTTCATTAAGTGTATTTTCCCTACATAACTATGAGAATTTAATTTACACTGAGTATACTAGCGAAATATGTTTGACACTCTCTGGGCAGTACATGTTTGACAACATGCGATACTCGAGTGCAGTGATATTCGCGTTATTTCATTTCGTGCATTTTCCCTGCACAACTATGACTTCAGAATTAAATTTGTTTCAACATTTGTGTGGTCATAAAAGTGAATGCAACTGTTTTGCAGAAAAATGTCTTGATGCTCGTGCAGATCCTGAACATTTCATCTGGTGGCACACCAACAGCCATCCGGACTGCGCTCGTAAGTATCCTGATATTAAGATACGATTGTACAAACACATACATGTATCACATAAAAAATGACACATAAATCTCTGTACGCATAATAAATGTAACCTGTAACAGTTCAGGCCCTGTCGAAGTTGTATCAACAAAAATATATAACATATAAACTGGAACTTCAATCTTTTTCATAATATGAGCGAGTGTGGTTTTAAGCCGCTTTTAGCAATATTCCAGCAATATCACGGCGCCAGAAATCATAATTCTGTGTAAACGTTGTTGTTTGTTTTGTCAGTGACCTGTTCGTGGAAGAACCAATGGTGTTGGCCTGGGGACTGCCCAGACAGAAGATTGAGGACATCCTGTAAATGTCGGAACGGCTTTGTGAAGCATGATGGAGGTTCCAGATACACAAAGTGTGACCGTGAGAGGAATACGTGTTTTCCAAATACAATGTAAAAACTATGTTGACAGTTATTATGAGAGTTATATAAAAATGTCACACGTGCCTTCATTTTCATGTTTGTCTATTCAATGTTGATATGATATATACGTGCCCATTCAAATAAAGCATGGGAGTTGTAAATCTGGAATTAATCAACATGATACATGTGAGCGACTGTGAAGTGCAGACATGATATCTTATTTACAGTTGTTGAGAAGCCCCAACTTCTAACGTGCCACATTGGGATGACGGATGCACATCACAGCGTGAGAAGCTCCACACATGGCTCTCACTCTGGATGCCAGTATGAATCGGACACATATGTTAACTTGAATCCCATATAGGTAAACCTTCAGTTCAGCGCAAGTTAAATAATATTGACATCAGAAATCCTCCCAACTACATCTACCAGCAAGGATACGGAATAGTTGCTTCGAAGGCGACACTGAAGAAGGTTTCTATTACTGGTACAAGTGTTTATCATTTAGACCTGTGTGTGATGTTTCATATATTTTCATCCAATGAACCTAAATAATACTTCCGTAAACACTCTCATGATTTTAAAACAAATGATGTTCTCCTTCATAAGGTTAACGCTGTGTTCGTATTTCGTTGGACACATATAGAAATGAGCATTAACAAATTTACTCTTGACACGTTTCATTATCAGCATAATATTGTGTTTCATTTCAGACCGAAATGTTTTTATACCTACACGAAATAATTACTGGCACTAATTGTAACAATACTTAATATTCATGTGTTCCAATCCACTAACCGAAAAAAATGAGTCCATATATTGATTTGCAATAATATTTATTCTCGAACAGGACTTGAAACCAGCCTTTCCACAGTTACATTGTCCGGCGGAAATGATTGCTCAAAAGCGCTTGGGAGCACGTCGCCCTCTCCATCCTTGACATGTTCACGGACTGTAACAGTACCAACAGACATGTATGATGGAGAAAGGTATGAGCACATGTGAAAACCACATGTGAAATGTTCATCTTTTTATTTACATATGCAAAAGGGAATTTGTATAAGGGAATTTTGCCAAAGAGATTTACTTAAGCTTTAAATATATTGAGGATCTGATATCGTTAATATCGCCAATTCCCTTCCACTGTTTTACCCGCAAGAACCAGAAAAAAACATTCAAGCCTTTGTGGATCTTTCAAAAGTATTTATGACAGAGGAACATTTGGACGCACGAGTTACCAAAATATATGTTCCATTGACATTGCTCTTTAGATATGTACCACATGCATTAATAGTAACATATTTGAACCTGTCGGTGATGAAGAGTACATTAACTAGATTATCATAGGTGTTATTTAAAACTAGTATTAGAGCATTAACAGTTTGCAACATTATTAGACATTACAATATAAAACCGGGCTATAGCGCGCCAGTAACCAATGGACTTTCAGTACTTCTTCTACCTGCATGGTACCACAATCAAATATTCTACGTTTTCATCAATGGAAGGCTTTGAATGACATGGACAACATAATACGCAAATACGTAGAATAATCACTATTTGATAGTGATTCATAAAAAATGGCATACTCGGACTGGTTTTGTTGCATTTCTTTATATTCCTTATATATAGAGTTTATCACGCGAGTGTGTTTGGGGATGGTAAATATCCTGCATTAAACATTGTATTTAGCGAACCTTGGCGAGCTAAATACATAGTGTTTATTCCTAATACAGGATATTTACCATCCCCAAACACATTTATTACATCACAAGTGATGTGTGACAGTGACAGTGACAGTGACAGTAGCCAATATAGTTCCAACTGAAATTTGTTTCTTATACAGTTGCGAAGCAACATATACGCAAAAGAACAATTGTTTTTACTTACCTTTCGCGGCAATCCATCGGTCTGTCCGCTAGAGTAACTGCCCTTTGTCAAAGGGAAGCTACTCTAACCCTAGTCTATGAGACGTCACGGCCACGCTTGTCCTGTCATAACGTTAAGTGCAGTCAGATGTACACACAGCGACAAAACGAAACAAGGTAACAATTCAAACGTATTTCGGCCAAATCCAACTTTTTTAATTTGTGGAAAAGGTTTTAAGCCGCAGAGGTTTACAAGCACAGATATGGTTACTGATACCGCTTGGCAAGGCCTAGTGCCCTCGCAAAATTGTTTCGAAATTTATATCTCCAAAGTTGCCAAAACGTATAAAATGCCTAAGCTACGTCACAGATGGACACTGATTTTCAGTATATTAGACTGTTCTTTTGATAATGATAGCAATTATCTCTTTAGTTTATCCAAATTCTGACTCGATCGCCGAATGACAAGGGCGGAGCCATGTTTGTTTATAAACACTGAAAGTAATCCCTACTTGACCTTTGATACTTGCATCTTTATCCGCATATGACCCCAACGGATATCGTTTTTATCCGTTGGCTTTATCCTGCCGAGAAACCTACCCATTATATGATAAAACTTTGTATTTCGACGAATAACTGATAATAACTTTGCAGAGCTACAAGTATAACACGTGAGGCTTTCAGCTATTATCATGTATGCCTCATGCATCTCCTGAAATATATATTCATCGATATTTATGCTAACAGATTAAACGTTAATGTGGAAAAAAAAGTTTCGTGATGTGATTAAATACAGGAACGACAAAACCCAATTGCATAATCATAAGAAAGCTCAGTTTTTCAAGGTCCACTTTTAATTCCCCCCAGGAAGCAATGCGTAAAATGTATTCATAGTGACAAGTGTTGTACATTTCCTGGGTGTTGTCAAGAACATGTTTATGTTATCCAGGTTTTGCATACAGTTCTCGGCTACTGGAGGGGGATTCTTCAGGTATCAAGACTTTGATAGACACCACATAGGAACACAGACTTACACTCCACAAACGTCCACCAAACATCTCTGTTTCCGGTACGATATGAGTAAACCCGTACACTGCTCCAAGCTGAGAACAGGGCATTGTTCCCCACAGCCACTAGAACTATCAACCCGCATAACGCATACAGGTGTGTCACAAACATTGTTATATATTTACATCAGGGTTCATTATAATATATTTAACCTTGAAGATGTTTTCATTCTTTACTCATTCATTAAGCTTACTGTATCTTTTATTAACTTGTGTATCAGGAACGTGTTTTTTTCATGTAATTGTCGTGTTGTAGGTGTGCTCAATGCAAAAACCTCTGGCTGGACAGATCCTTTGCCACATGGTGGAAAAGCGGATGCAGTATCTGGATTGAAACACATTAAAATACAGATTCTCAACACTGTACAGAATGGAAATATGATCGACGTCTTACACACGCCGCTGAAAGGTTTGGATCTAACGTACAACACGTTTGTGTTGGACAAATCCATTCACCTCCCCAACAAATATGGCCTATATGCTGTTATTCTGGAGGTTCACGACAAGGCTGGAAACATCCAATCAGTCAGACGTTTTGTGCTGTATGAGAAATCCTCCAAATTGATGACAAATCCAGCAAAACCTCTTCAGGTTGTATCAGCAACACAGAAATCTCACTACAAATGGCAGACTAACCTTGGGCCAATGTGCATAGACTTTAAAGGCCGTTACTACAATGATGAAATGATGGCCAATAACCCTTTGGGGCCAGTCCGTCCCCAGGCAGGAGTGGAACCTGAATATGACCAAACTACTGGAACCCTTCCTATTTATGGGACTCCCAATGTTGATGGCATCGTTCATGCAGAGTATTCTGTCTCTGTCAACAAGGGTGCTAAATCACACTGGGCATTGGTTCCCCACTTCACCAAACAGTTACTCTGCATCTCCCCCAAGCTGATTGATGGTCAAACTTATGATATCTCATTAAGGATGAAAGACTTTGTTAACAACTCCGTGGAGGAATCGGTACGGGTTCACATTGACTCTACTGTTCCTGATATATCAAACATGTGGCTCGTGAAGGATGGAAACAAGCAGGTGTATGTGCACGACAGTCTCGACCTTTCTACAATGGTGCTCCACTTTGATGTCATCGACCCTGACAGTGGCGTCGAATTTGTGGAGTGGTATCTTGGCATCAAAGACTCATCAGAAGACCTTGGCCATGGTGTGTTGCCAGTGCAGAAACTAAATGGACAGGTAAAGATTGTATATCATCCTTCATGTGTCGTATGACAGAACAGTGCTCTTGCAGCAGTCGGTCATGTAATGGTACGTTGCTAAAATGTTCGAGAAAATATCTCCTCTTGTGCTCCATGGAACGTTGTATGAAAAAAATGAAACTTTTGACTATATGAACAAAAAACCTCATTTACATATCTGTCATTTGTATCCTCTTTTGTAGGCATGTGCATCCTATGTGGACTGCTACTGTCCTTCCCTTGGAGACTGCCAGTTTCACAACTACACTGTTAAGATGGAAAGTCTGGTGTCCAACAAGATCAATCCTGCTCTCAACAATAAGGCCGTATACTTCACTGTGGTGGCAACAAACGGAGCAAACATGAACAAACGCGACCATCTTGACATCCTTGTCAGATAGTCGAGTCTCTCTCAAAAGTAACTCGTATATTAATAATATATATCCTCTTCTAGCGTTCTGGTTGCTTTGCGTTTTGTTGAACAAAAGTAATGATATCCTTTTTAACTTTTTTACTTCTATTCTTCTACAGTTTAGAAATGTTTGTGCATATACGCAACAAACCAAAATAGTACCTTTAAGTCGAGGCGGTGTGGTTTTGAATAGTCCCTATGTTAATCATGTTCCTGAAAATCTAGAATTCTGTAATCAGTCATTCAATCAGTTATTTCTGTATTTAGGCCTCGTGTGGACGTACAAGTAATACAATTAAAGTATTTTGAACACGTGTGCAACAGCAAATATTTACAATTGTGAAGTTCGGAGGTTGAGGAGGCATCTTTAACTTGCTAAATGTTTTAGAACGCTCATACTGGATGACTGCAGCATTGTTGTCAAACTATCCTTTGGATTAGCATGAGTGAGGACATTGAAAAGTGGGGGGAAAAATTCAATATGTAGTTACATAATGGAAAAAACCGAATTGTCTTATCGATGCCCGCTATCCTCTCTATATTATTCATAATTTTCAGTTCACCATCTTTATAGAGTGAGCATCCGTCTATTTTCTTTTGATGATATACTTCACAAGAATGGCTCTAATATAAGTGAAATCCTTAACACTGAATTTAAATCTTGTTGACTTGTTGACATGTTTCTGGTCCATTTCATGGATATATATCTGTTTTTGTATGGACAAACTGGTGTTGTTGTTTTCTTTTAAACATATTTTTTACATAAACGGTCAATAGGATTGGTGAAATAAGTATCCAACTTGGGTGGCCCTCTCCCAAATTCATATATTCAGACATTGATTTTTAAATATACACATTAGATTACAAAGTAACACACAAAGTTATAAACATAAACATAAATTTTATTAACATGTTTGAAAGTAGAACATAGACACACATTAAATGCATATATGAACACATTATACTTGTACATACACATACATCCACAAATACATAAACAGAGGCCCATGATTCTGGGTAGAATAGGTCATCAGCACCCCATGCTTGCCGTAAAAGGCGACTAACGGGATCGCATGTTCAGGCTCGCTGGCATGGTTGATGCATGCCATCGATCCCATATGCGTGATCGATGCTTATGATGTCAGTCACTGCATTGTTTTGTCCAGACTATTATTTACAGACCGCCGTCATATAGCTGGAATGCTGCTGACTGCGCGTGGTATTGTGTAATATGATTCAATACTTAAAAGTTCTATACAGTGATATTTTTATTTGAATATCACTGTAAAATACATTTGGACATATTAAGTTAACTGTTTGGAATATTATGTAATTTGATGTATATCGATTGCAAACTTTTGACCACATCTATAGTTAAGAGACATCAACGTTACGATTCCACAAAATACAGTTTATGAAGTAATAACAACCACAAATGAAACTTTATGCTCTATGTACAATGCAATATGTACCGCGAAAATTCCTGAAGAGAAGCACTTCACTCGATGAATAAACTAGATGACGGGGTCTACATTTCAAAGGCCTTAGCCATATTCATCTTGTTGCACTAATATTTTCCCATGACCATGATCGCAATCACAAACAGATAAGAAGTAAAACGTTTTTTGAAAAAGAAATATATTACAGTAGTTTTGAAGAGGGAAGAGAGATGTATATCAGTGTCATACAGGCACAAGCGCTGTATAGAGGTTTGTGGGTAAATCAAATTTTATAAACACAAGGGGCTCCACCATTTAATATGTGATCTCCGTGACAGTGTATATTGGTTTCTAGATAAGAATATGTTGAGTATAAACTGGTTGCGAACCATTCAGGAGCCGTAGCCAGATAACCAACCAGTGTTTCGTAACACTACATGTATACAGCCACCTAGGATGTAAATGATCATCTGGTGTGGACAAACTTAAGCTGTATATATCCCAGGCATGGTGAATTGATGCCGCCTTTGCAGAACCATATTCCGTGTGCAGCGTCCCTCGGATACGCCAGAAACCTATGATTGTATGTTCGTCCCGAATATGTTTCTAGGTTTTTCAGCACAATACAAGTGCTCGTTTGTTTCACAAATGTTGTATACGTCTGAGACCTGCATCACTTCGGCTTCCCTCCAACATTTACCTACACACCGTGATATAACTGGAATACTGTTTAAAAGTGGCATTATAAATCCAATCCACTCACTCACTAGATTCCTCTACGGGTTCATATCAACCTTGCAATACCTGTACTCCAAATAAATATTCCGGGGTAGAATAGGTTTTCAGAAACCCATACTTGTCGTAAGAGATGACTATGCTTGTCGTAAAAGGCGACTAACAGGATAGGGTGGTCCGGCTCGCTGACTTGGTTGATGCATGTCATCGATCCCAATTGCGTGGATCGATGCTCATGACATTAATCACTGGATTGTCTGGTCCAGACTCGATTATTTATAGACCGCCGTCATATAGCTGGAATATTGCTGAGTGCGGCGTAAAACAACAAACCAACCAACCAACCAACCAAATAAATAAATAAATAAATAAATAAGTGGTGGGTTATGTTTGTTTCCTCGAAATCGCCATGAGGACGAAATGCAATAGTTTAGCGCACGGGTTCCATGATGATGACAAACCGACATGATCAGTCCAGATTTGTTGCCACAGCAGTGGATCCTGGTACAGCTGAGGGATGCGACACTGCTTAGAGAAATGTAGCGCTTCAGACCAATCAACTGATCCAGCGTGTCAATCAAAACTGACGCATGCATCAGCAAAAGCTTTTCAAAATTGAATCTTTCAGTATTTCTATGAAGATGCAGGGCCCAGTTATGAATGAATTGCCTGATCCTATTCCGGTGAATGGATGCAGCCCCTGGTGCGCAAGGTTAGAAAGAACAGGCTTATTATGTGAGATGAATAGAGATTTGCTGAAATCTTTTGACAAATTGAAATAAAAGTGTATTTTTTAGCTATGAGAAAATTATTTCATGTGATTTTTTTACAACAAACTTGTATGTTATTCACTGGCAATGGAGGCTTATTGGTGAACATTTTAGTAAAATAATACAACTGTTAAAAAATGTTATTGGTGAATTTAATTAATAAACTGTAAATAATGTAAAACTATTTCTTAAGATCTAAGATTCCTTAAGTTAACATATTAAAGCAATTAATATACAAATATTATCTAATCAAGTGTTTCATAATTATTCCAATTAAGTATTTGATGCGATATCAAAGTCAGATTAATATGATTCGAATGCAGGACTAGCCAAATAAACTTTAAGTGATTCACGGTACAACATCAATGCACTGTGTATAAACCTAGCTTGTTGACTATTGCTATAAGACATATTTCTTTTTAAATAATATATTTATTCCAAGAACATGATGAAACATGATACAACGTATTTTAAGATGCAAGAATTTTCTAAAAATCAAAGGCAGTATCTCATAGTATCTCTCAGTCACTCCCTGGTCAGGTATTATCCAGGGCCCAGTGTATTCTGTAATAGAAAGGGGGGGGGGGGGGGGGGGGGGGTGTTGTACTGATTGTACTGATCTTAGTGTACACGGAGTTGGGACATCAACTTCTAACAACAGTGGATCGTACAAGGAGCTGATAAAGTACTTGTAATTTGAATGTCAATGCTCCACAGACCTGGATGAACGTCATTCCACTCAGACATGTGGAGTGTTTAATTCGTTCATAAAATCCCCGTTCTTGGCACCCTTTCAGATGTGACCTTAAAGTTCGGTTGGGGTGTAGGTCCCCACGTGACAAGTATTGCCTTTGGAGGGTCATGTCAGCGCAGAACACCACGGGAAGCGGATTGATATGGATGACCATTGCCAGGTGAAAGGATTATTGTGTTTTTCGATGTTAGAAATATACATTTTACGAGCAGGTTTTCCAAGGGCGCTTTTGGTGAACTTCATATCTGACACACTTTTCTGGTTGCATTTATTCAACTTTAAGTCTTTATAGATTCGGAAACAACTACATCTTTTTTTGCAGTGACTTCAGCAGAGTCATGAGACTTTTGGGAAGTCTTGCAGTGTTTACCATCTACCTTTGCTCTTATGCAGACAGTCTTAGCAGTCACGGGTATGCTCTCCCATTCCCTCACTCGGATATCAATAAATTGAATAAAACATATTAATATATGTTTCAGATAAACATCATTTTGTAGCAGTGCGTAATTGACTTCAAAGATACATGGTTTCTAAATTACATTTTATGCAGGTATATTCAATCGAATGGTATATATGCATTATGGGGAATAAACACATGGTGGACAAGGTGTCGTTAGTAATTAATGAACTAGGATTGACGGACATATGAACAGATTTCAACAGTATATTGGAATTCATTATGATGATGGGTTACAGTAAGTATATATTTCTGATTGCCTTCTCATTTGTCAATACTTTAGCAACTGCTATACAAAGTGAAGAAAATATACGGTTTTTGTCTGTTTCAGTAAAAATGTCTGTCACCACACAGTGACATTCAAAGTTGCGACCCAGGAGCGTTACCATGCGCACTGTAAATTCCTGGGTTGGGGAAGATGCGCTAGATATCGGACAAAGTACGTAAATTGTGATGTATTACAAACCCTTTCGACCATAAGCGAATTATTTAATGAGATGTCCTTTTTTTCCTTTTTGCTTTCATTGCGACTGTCTTTTATGTTTCCCCTCCCACGTTATGAGTCTCTTTTCTCAAGTCTCATGATGTTAGTTTCGACATATCTTTGTGTAACTCACCATTTGCAATGGCATTACCTGCTCAATATGCGGTCGCAGATTCAAAGCATGTTAGTTTCACTAATGGAAATGTTTTCTTATTTATACTTTAAAATATAGAGTGCCCAATTTAATATCTACAATTTTCTTAAAAAGGACAGACAATAAATTCCGTTTTGAGATTCTTGGTGACCCCAATAAGCAGTTGAACGCCATGAATACGCGATACCCTGATCTGTTGTGAAAAGTGATGTGTTGTGTACAAAAATCTAAAATATGTAAAGCCATATAGTCCAATTATCACAAGTATTATTATTCTCCAGTTATCAGGAAAATCATATGGTGGTAGGTACACTGCCCTTGATTATACATGTTATTGTATAAATGTACTCCAATTATGTATTTGCAGATACGTCACTAACTCACGTATAGTGTATGAATGCTGTCCAGGGTGGAAGTCTAGCAACAACGTAGACTGCAGTTTAGGTACTAATGTGTCCTATCCCTACGTGTACATTCCATACATGTCTTTAAAAGTTAATATCATGTGATATGGATCGCAATAGATACAATAACGATGATCAGTTTTGTGTTGTTCTCTACCTGTGAAGATATTTGCGAGTGTGTGTCTGGTGTGTGTCCTTTCTAGCTAATTTTACAAGAGTGACTGGTTACGTTTTATGTTTCTGTGTGTGAGGAAAGGGGATCGGTTGGTCAGGCTCGGTGACTTGCAAGCCATCGTATCCCAAGTGCGTAGATGTAACCCATCAGTGCGGTACAGGATGTCTTTCAAGAACATTGTCTGCAGATCAGTTATGTGCGTATGGCCTGGCGTGTCATATCCCTTAATCTCCGTTACTGGGTCGTATATATGTACAAAAAGATGTTTCTCTGACCAGATTTGGTTTGTTATCTACAAGTGACGATATCCTTGAGTTACTGGCTATATAGTGTATGTCCTCAGTGGCTAATTTGCATTAGTATCAGAGAGTGACTGGTAAGAAAGCATGGTTCCGTGATTCTTAGTAATTGGCGACTGTATGTTATCGTTCAGATCCTTCATCGTCCTTTTTAAATGCAAAGTTCCTTCCTTTTTGTCAGGATCTGGTCGCAGTCCACGTATGGACACTATCAGCAACAGATTTAGATTTCAGCTTAACATTTGGTTTAACTAAAGCACGCAATGTCTACGATCAGAAATTTGTTTTCGTTTTTGATAATCACGACTGATCATTCCATGGCGTTGGCGTTATATATTTATATTTATAAATATTTAAGTAAATGGTGAACAACTATCTCTTTAAAGAGAGCGTATCTTTTTGAAACAAACTGGTGTGACACTGTTGTCTCCTCCAGCCATCTGTTACAACAGGGACAAGCGTAATGGAGCCTGCAGCGAGAAAGGAAGCTGCGTGTCACCAAACAGGTGTTCCTGTCAGACTGGCTATACTGGAACTCAGTGTGGTGAGTGTCAGTTATAACACCTTTTTCTAGGCATGATCAATGGAGAGGGACTCTATATTATACGCAATACCATATGACAAGAAGGATGACTTTCCAATTTTCAACTTCCCCTTTATGTTGATCAATTTCAATCAGCTCCAGCCTGTGGTCCATAACTTCTGAGTTATATTGACCATGGTAATTCTACGAATATCTCAAAGAGCATCATATACATCTTGCTCAAACGTTGACCAGTGCTACAATATTCAAGGCCATGATAGACATGTGGAGGACATTTCCATATGTGATGCTTCAGTGACATAAATCATATGGGTTAAAATATGTGGATAGTAAACGTTTAACAACTTGAGAATCTGTAAATGTAATTATTGATGTGAGTTATCATTTATTTGGACTCCGGCTAATTTACTTTGGAGATGTTTTGCTTCAAAGCTATGCATTCATAATTAGAAGTGTATTAAAGTTTGCTTCGATGGAAAGTTAAATCAGTTCTTATTGCAGAAAAATGTCTTGATATGCGTGGAGATCCCGATCATTCCATCTGGTGGCGAAATAGGGATAATCCCGACTGCGCTCGTAAGTATCCTTGTACAATTACCCATAAGATAAAAATACCTTTTCACACACGAGGCATTTATTGCAAAGTAAGCATACTGCTTAACAAATACTGTTCTATCAAAGCTCGATGTAAACAAAATATGCAATAATATGGAATTTAGATAAGTTTTTACTACTGTTTTTTCATAACATGATGTTGTGGAAACTTTGTCGTTTTCCATTGAAGTGACCTGTTCGTGGAAGAACCAGTGGTGTTGGCCTGGCGACTGCCCAGAAGCAAGATTCAAGACATCCTGTAGATGTCGGAAGGGCTTTGTGAAGAAAAGCACCAGCAGCTACACAAAGTGTGATCGTGAGAGGAATAACTGTTTTCCAAATTTAAATTGTTATTACAGTTATTGTTAGAGTTACACTAATGGCACACACATTAAGTTTAAATTCCCCTAACATTTTACATTCTTCCTTTCAAAGATGATATGATACCTTTGTACGTTTGCACAAAATGCATGGGTACGTGAACTTGAATTAACTGAACATGATACATGTGAATGGTCATGTAGCGCAAAAAAAAGTAGAAATTAAGAGAGAAAATTCTCATTTCCAGTTGTTGAGAAGCCCCAACTTCTAACGTGCCGCATTGGGATGACCGATATACAGAACCGCGTGAGAAACTCCACACATGGCTCTAACACGGGATGTCAACAAGAATCCGATACATATGTCAACCTGCAACCCAAATCTGTCTACCTTCAGTTCAGCTCAAAGTTCGACGATATTTACATTAAAAATCCCCCAAACTACATCTCTCAGCAAGGATACGGAATAGTTGCTTCAAAGGCGACATGGACGAAGAGATCTGTTTCTGGTTCGTAGTCTTTAGTATTTTAAAAAAGTATATGACATTCCAATTGTATTCATCTAATAACATTAAATAACACTTCGATGATTTTGAAAAGAAATGAATTGTTGTTTTCCGTCTTAAGAATAATGTTGTGTTGTGTTGGACATCATGTTGAACGTAAAGAATAAGAAGCAATTACAATTTTAGGTTTGACGTAGTTCCTTATCATCATAATATAGTGGTTGATTTTAGAAGGGTATATGCACTTAGATGAAGGAAGTGATGGCACTGTAACAGTACCTAACATTAATGCAATCTAATCCTGCAACAGATAGACGGTGTACATATAATGATCTGTATTTAATGTATGTTCTCATACAGGACATGAATCTAGCCTGTCCACAATTAAATTGTCCGGCGGAAATGACTGCTCAAAAGCACTTGGGAACACTTCACCATCTCCATCCTTGACATGTTCAAGGACTGTATCAGCACCGACACGAATGCATGATGGAGAATGGTATGAACACATGAGAAAACAATAATGAGATTCTAGACAATGTGAAATTTCGGGATAGAATATTTAGGCAAGAAGTACAGGCATCCACGTATGGACCAATTGCTCTCTTCCACACTTCTGTTCTATGTATTCATGTATATGAGATTTTCTGCGAAAATTTGGCGAAACCAAAATAAGGGATTTTGGCCAAGACGTTTTATTTAAGTTTCATGTATATCCAAGATTGATGTCATGAAATAAGTGTCAAATAGCCAACCCTCTTCCCCTTACTAGTATTTACGTCTTGAACTAGAAATGAAAGACACCTATTTTAAGTTTAGATCTGAAACTAAAGATTGAAAAAGAACCAACAAGACTATGGCAAGACATAATAACACAACGCTTTAGCTGTGACCGTGCATGTCGTTCTGCTAATATTTCAAAGAGTGTCATTTGAATCACGCTCAAAAGTTGTCTTAGTAACTGAGACTGTTCGTGGCTATACTCTCGACGGGGGTTGAATTACCGTAAAATTATTGTCCCACTGTAAGACTACCTCTTTCAAAGTATATTTATATCTACCTCTATTTTAACTGGAGAATATTTGTTCACTTTTAATCTCTGGCTAAACTCGGAATAATCGCCAGTAACTTGGAGAAGTGTAAATCCTGCTGGGGAACCATGCAGGTAGCAGAGGTACCGTAAGTCCCCTTTGTCTCCAGTATGGCGATTTTAACCAGGTCCTTATTGCTGGATCTATAGCCCCATTTTTTATCTTGTGTCGTACCTCAATAATCATATATTTTTAATGTTCTACAACTAGTTGTAAGTCGATCTGTGATATATTGCTAGTTATTAAACTGTCCTTCATCCCTATTTTGACTTGATCATATGTTTCCATATTTATTCAAGTGAACACTTGCCTTGCCTTTGAATGGCCACTGGTAGGGCCATTTTACAAAACACGTAGTCTCATCAGTAATTGACAGCAATTAATAAATACATTTAATCAAACTTTTAGATTTCTTACGAATATGATAAATGGTTTTGTCATTTTTATTTATGTTCCTAATATATCTGACAATTTCAATGTACTAATGATACTGACTTTTGCAGAGCAATAATTGTAACACATTTCGTGAGACTGTTAGCAATTGCCATCCATGTTTTATCTTCTGAAATGTAAACATCAACGACATCATTCGTATATATTGATGCTGATTCAAGGTTAACATGGAAGGGTAGTTTCGTAATGTGCCTGAAGAATTCTCTCAACAGAAGATAAGGTTTTAATTCCCCACATAGTTCCGAACGCGTAAAATGTAATCAAGGTGTCATACATTGACTGGCATGTAATCAAATATATGTTTATGTGTCACCAGGCTGTGCATACACTTTTCGGCTACTGGAGGGGGATTCTACAAGTATCAAGACTTTGATAGACACTACAAAGGAATCCAGACTTACACTCCACAAACGTCCACCAAACATCTCTGTTTCCGGTATGATATGAGTAAACCAACACACTGCTCCAAGCTCAGAACGGGGCATTGTTCCTCACAGCCACTAGAACTATCAACCCGCATAACGCGTACAGGTGTGTCAGAAAATTACAATATTCACATATTTTATCTATACTTGGAGATCTCTTTATATCCCACATACTGTGTAATGCATCGTTTTATTTCACTTGCGTACATGTATAAGGAATATGTTTATGTATATTTATTTCCTATGTAGGTTCGATCCAAGTAAAAACCTCTGGCTGGACAGATCCAAAACCGACAGGTGGAAAGTCTGATACAGCATCTGGATTAAAATACATTAAAATACAGGTTCTCAAGACTACAATTAAACAAAATATGATTGATGTCCTGCACACGCCGCTTAAAGGTTTGGATCTAACGTACAACACGTCAGTGTTGGACAAATCCATCAACCTCCCCAGCGCATATGGTCTATATGCAGTCATTCTGGAGGTTCATGACAAGGCTGGAAACATTCAGTATGTGCGACGATTGGTGCTGCACGACAGCTCATCTAAATTGATAAAAGTTTCATCAAAACCTCTTCGGGTTGTGTCAGCAACACCGAAATCGAGCTACAGATGGCAGACAAGCCTTACACCCGTGTGCATTGACTGGAAAGGCCGTTACTACAATGACAAAATGAAGGCAAATAAATTGTTGAATCCAGTTCGTCCCCAGGCGGAAGTGACACATGATTTTGACCAAACTACTGGGACGCTTCCAATATCAGGGACTTACAATATTGATGGCATCATTGATGTTATGTATTCTTTCTCTGTAAACCAGGTTACACATACCACGCCACACTGGACAATGGTTCCTCACTTTACCAACCAATCCCTCTGCATTTCACCTCAGCTAGTTGATGGTGACACATGTGATATTTCAATAAGGCTCAAAGACATAGCAAAAAACTATATTAATGAAACCGTACATGTTAACATTGACTCGACTGGTCCAGATATATCAAACATGTGGCTCGTAAAGGATGGAAACAAGCAGGTGTATGTTCACGACGATCCCGACCTTTCTGCCATGGTGCTTCAGTTTGATGTCATGGACCCTCACAGTGGCGTGACGTCTGTGGAGTGGTATCTTGGTACAAAAGATTCATCAGACGACCTTGGCCAAGGTGTGCTGCCAGTGGAGAAACTGAATGGAACGGTAACGATGCAATATTCTCATGGGTTTTGGAATTATAATAGCAGTTCATAATGCATAGTTTGAAAACAAGTTATACTTTCCTCCGTGCTGGATGTTCTCTATGCAGTTTAAAGTGTTGATAAATCATCAAGTATGTATTTCTATGCATGAACAGGTAATGGCAGTGCAAAGTCATCAATGCATCCTAGATCAGTTTCTTTTACATCAACATCATAAAGTGAACTATGCAATCTTATATGTAAAAAACGCTATATGAAACATGACATATAAAAGAAATACTGAACAGAAGTGCTTTACATATATCTGATTTGTCTGCATTCCTATTACAGGCATGTGCATCCCGTTCCGGTTGCTACTGCCCATCCGTTGGGGAGTGTCAGTATCACAACTACACTGTTAATCTGAATAAGCTGGTGGCGAACAAAGCCAATGGCGCTCAGCACAACCAGGCCGTCTACTTCACAGTCAGGGCAACAAACGGGGCATATCTGCAGAGTATCGACCACTTGGACATCCTTGTGGACACCTCTCCACCTGAAGCAGGGACCGTAAAGGAAGGAGCAGTAGACGGCCCTGATGTGGAATACACAAGTGAGAATACTGTATTGGTCAACTGGGCAGGGTTTATTGACCACGAAAGTGGCATCAACCATTACCTGGTCAGCCTGGCTCCCAAGTGTCTGACACTGGATGAAATGAAGAACATGACAGACACCATCCGTATTCCAGGAAGCATGAATATCGCACAACTTACAATTCAGAAAGCAATGAAAAAATATCATACAACCGTTGTAGCCTTCAATAATGCTTTCAGTCCTTCAAAAGCTGCCTGTTCTGATGGGATCATTAAGGATACATCATCTCCATCACTTGGCAATGTGACACTGAAAGGGGCACAAACATCAAAGGAACATGTCGAATGTCTGAATGGCGATCTCTGGCTTGTCACAAGGAATCTGACACTAAAATCGGTTGAAAAGACTAGTAAATGTTCACAGAGATGCAAATCCAAGTCAACATCAACTATTGCTAACGCATTTCCAAAGAGTAATATTATCATGAATGATACAGAATTGGCTGATAGTCTTTGTGGATCCCTTGGCCCTATTGCTGATTCTCTAATCTTTCTTCCATCTGACAAAATAGATCTACACTGGAACTACCCAGAAAATGAAGGTCACATAAAAGATGTTTTTGTAGGTTTTGGATCTGACAAGTCAACAACTTATGACCCAGATATCCTGGACTACGCATCGAGTAAAGGACGCCATTCCTTTAAGCTGAACCATGCAGGGTTTGCGGGGAAGAATATTTTCTACATATTTCTAAAGGCAGTGAATAGGGCTGGAATGAGTGCTGTTGTAACATTTGGACCAGTGATGATTGACAACACACCCCCAGTCATCACTGAGAAAATAACACCAAAATCTAGCGGCGATTTTGTTATGATCTCATGGCACAATGATACGTTTGCCGACCCAGAGCAGCAGGATTCCCAATTTACAGTTCTTTACAGAATTAGTAAGTAATTTCCTTTAGGATATCTTTGAATAACTATTATATCAACATTTGAAACAAACTGTTTCCTATTTAAATGATGTGATTTACATGGTGAGAATAGGACTGAGAATAAATATCTAAATGTGCATAATTTAACAGAAATTCGGAAAAACACTTTTCGGAATTATTATGAAAGTTGTCTGATTTTGAATTAAACACATGTACAAATGTAAATGTAAACAATGCAATTTTGGAGGTTTGAATATGATCAAGACATTGATTCAATCTGACATTCTTATAAGATGGGGGAAAAGTCAATGACATGAAGGTCTAATACTCATTGGCAATACTTTTGGATTCGATCATGTCTCTAGATGACAGAGACTATTGTCCAACATATGAACATGCTCACTTTACAACATGAGTTTGGCTTTGAGCATTATTGCACGCAATCATATTGTTTGTGTATTAAACCATTAACTTGTATATGTTTAATTTCAGGGCATAATGGACAGCATGTAACACCTATTCTCCAAACACCAAAACACATCACGAAAATCTGTCAGATCCATGGCCATGCTGGTTGTATCAGATATCCTATCCAAAGACTAAAAGAGATGGACTCGGAGCTTAACAAACCATTTCTCTTTGAACTGTATGTATACAATTCTGCTGGCCATTTCACTATCGTCAACACAGAGAAGATTACAGTGCCATCCAGATTCCCACCAGGACATGGGATAGTGTATGACATTGACCCAATGCACGAGAGTGGGAAGGATGACGTTGACTTTCATTCGACACTAAAGAAGTCATGTGTCAGGTGGAATGGCTTCAGTCATCACCGAAATGTCCAGTTTGAAGTGGCGCTGGGGTCTGCTACAAATGGAAGTGACATTAGTCCATTCAGACATGTAAACAACGAAAGTGCATGTGTACCTGCTTCAGGTCTAAAGCCACGTGTGAAGTATTTTGCCACAGTAAGAGCGACTTGCTCTGGGGGAACATCGTATGCCTCATCTGATGGTTTCATCATTATTGATCAACCAAATGATGACCGATATATCCTTGAAGTCTTTGATGGAACAGCATGTGACGATCACAGTTCTGAAACATCTGGACTAGTCCCTGAAACGAGAAGGTCTTACAAACCAGCTGCATCTCTCCATATTGGTCAGAGATACATTGTTGAGTTTCGACCTTCTCTCAATGGAAAAATTACGGCACATGATGTTCTCTCAATGTCAAGCATAAACGTTGGTGGAAAGAAGAAGGACACATATCAGTTTGTACCTTTGACACATTACCCTCGGTTCAACATGACCAATTCTGCTGACGACATCAGCAACTCAACTATTCGCATGTGCTCTCTAGACATTGATTACAACTTGTCCAAGAACAAAGTGTCTTCTCACTGGCACTATGATGGGCCATGGAAGGTGCTTACAACTCATTTTGAAGCTGCTCTGAAAGAAAGAATGCATTGTGCAAAGAACTCACAATGTTATAAAACCCTGTCAACTGTTTTTGTAAACAATAGGACTGATTACGCAGACTTCATGGATATTGTCCTTGAACATGGCAAGGTGTATCACGTGTATGTGAGGCCCTGTTTTGACACAGTGTGTTTACCATGGAAATCTTCAGATGGTGTTAAGGTTATCTCTGGACTACCAAAAGTAACAATTACACCAACTTTCACCACCAGAGCTAAATCCTCGTGTCATGACGTGGCAATTCATGTTGACAGTGTTAAATGTGAAGAAGAACCGGGAGATTCAGGGACGCTCATCTACCAGTGGGCTGCTACAGATAAACATAACAATCCGTTTACATCCTGGCAAACTGACCAGTCACTCGCCAAAGGACAGGTAATACATATGCTCAAGTTTTGTATTTTGACGAATTGTCATACATGCGACCTTTCAATACCAGAAATTGTCAAATTCATTTCGTGATCTTGTCTTATCATTTTTTCCAGTCTGATGTCTGTCTGGAGGACCATACTGAGTCACACAGTACCATCAACATATGCGTCAGAGTCATATGTCCATCCGGGCTGTCTGATACGTCCTGTCAAACTCTTCATCACACCAGAAAACAGGGAAGCAGGCTTGTTGAAGTGGACCAGAATGATATTCAGGAGATTAAAGAAATGATTGACAAGCTGGAGACTGGGAATATTTCTTCATTTGAAATTGATGTTGCTGAATCTAACATCAAACTGGCTGGTGTAATGGGTGGATTAGAAGGCAAAAACTCCACATGGTACCTGATGAAAGAACCACACATTCCAAGTACCTGTAAAGCTGATGACAAATGCATCACAAGTGTAGATGCTGTAGGGCCTGTTGCTTATTTCCATGATCCAGAGTTACTGGACGGTGTGAAATATTACATATGTATGCAAAGTAGGCCTATCGCACAAAACAGCTCAAGGATATCTGAATGTGGGGATGGTGTTATCATTGATGACCTTCCCCCTAAACAAGGCGAAGTTCGGGTACTGAACCTACGAAATGGATTTCTCACAGAATGGGATGTTTTGGTGATAGATTGGTCCGGATTTAGAGACCAAAAATTGTTCCTCAAGGACACTGATTCAGGCATCACTTATTATTCCTATGCCATAGGTACGTAAGACAAATTTAGGCATGTCTGGAAATAGGTTTATAAGATAAATTAATTTAGATAGGGTACGGACCCGTGAAGATCCCATGCTTGCTGTAAGAGGCGACTATGATTGTCGTAAGAGGCGACTAAAGTGATCGGCTGGTTAGGCTCGTTGATGTATGTCATCGTATCCCAATTGCGTGGAGCGATGCTCATGATGTCAATCACTGGATTGCCTGATCTAGACTCGATTATTTACAGTCATATAGCTGGAATAATTCTGAGTGCGGCGTTAAACAACAAACAAACAAACAGTAGCATTCAAGGCCTTAGTAAAGCTTTTAAAGAGAGACGTTGTATAGAGATCGAAAGTAATTTTCTTATGTCATCAACGATATACAGGCTTGATTCGAGTATCGCTTGATTCTGTTTCGAGCTTCTTATAGATGCATTCAATGCGTTTGCCTTGAATTAAAAACATGTTCATATACTCATTTATTCTTATTGTATTAATACACTGTAACCAATTTACATATGTTTCAAGGTACCTATCCAGGAGGACAAGATGTTCAAGCCTTCACAAATGTTGGCCTTGCACACAACGCACATATACCAAACATTACCTTGGCAAATGGCGAAACCTTCTATGTAACGCTGAAAGGTAAGTTCCATCTTTTTATTGCCCATGGAAAAGTCGCTTTATTAAGTAGAGATTCAGTAGAAGGGTAGGACTATTCTGCATTGCAAATACTGTGTTGTTACGGCAGCAGAACTGCTGTGCGGCGTTGGGGAAGAACCACTTATGCAAATTGTATGAGGAGCGGATGTTAGCGGCCGGGCAGGACATTCTTACCTTTATCGCGAAGACTTGGCGTCATCACTTTTCAGTGAATTATTCACATAATATTCAACACTATCTTGTCTTTTACATGCAATGGAGTGAGTTTTGGCGCATAATCGAAACTGATTATTTTCTGTCGCTGACGTGTATTTTTACTTCATACACTGTTATAGAATGGAATGTCCTGCATGCACTGGTGAAAGCAAATTATTACTGTTGTTCGGTGGTTATTTCCATTTAAGCTTTTGACCGACTTGGACACTCAACATCAGCAACATCTGATGCTGCTCTGGTTGATGTTACACCACCTAAGACAGGCGACTTCTTCATTGGTGACATTCTTGACAGCCACAGTGTGGTGTCAGGAGACAGGTTGACTGTCCATTGGGCAGGATTCGAAGATCCTGAATCTGGCATCCTTTCAACATATCTCGCCATTGGATCGACCATCACTGGAGCACTGTCACCTTTCAAGAAATATACAGGAACATTTGCAGACATCAACATGAATGGATTTACAGATGGCCATGAGTATTTTGCGAGAATAATGGTACAACAAATGTACATGTTCCCATCCTGATAATGTAACTTTTCTGTTAGTGTTTAAATTATCAATGTTTATTAGTTTCAACAAAATCAGTAAATAAACTATTGTGTCACCTTATTTTCTGGTTTAACGATCACTTGATTGTCTTTTGTATTTACAGGAAGCCGTCGTATGGCAGGAATATTGGCTGCGACGTTAGGCAATACTTACTTTTTTATGCAAAGTGTGTAAAAGGCGGATGCTACAGGAAAAGCGGGAGATGCCTGCGCTGTTGGTGTCATCACTGATTTCCAGTGGTTCAAATTAATTTTCACAGCTATTTCGCTCTTCACGCCAACCTCAACTGGTTATTCTCTTGCATTGACAATTTATATTTTTCTGAGATAAAAATGAAATACCAAACTTACTAGTCAAACATGTATAAATGTGAATGATCAGGTTAAATTTGTGTGATAGAATTAATAAGGATTTTTTTTCAGATTACAAATCGAGCTGGCGTGACTTCTATGGCGGTTTCCAATCCCTTCACCGTGGACACGTCACCTCCTTCAATAGGTGTTGTTGCAGATGGTGAAAAGGGGGTAAGGGGTTTTGACGTTTTTATTTGTTAAAATATGTACCGAATAGCCATGAATTCCAATAATATTGCTGAAAAGAGACGTAAAACCATACTCACTCACACACTACAAACATTTAAGGCCTAAACCTGAAGGCGTTGACAAAACGTATATAGTGTACATACCTAGTATACATTGCTCGACTGCGGGTTACATAACATTGATAAATGTTCTATATTTTGTACGTGCCACAGGACGTCTATACGCTGTTATTTATTATCTGCATGTACATATTAATATTTTGTATATGTCAGTTTGATTTTGTAAATATGTTTCAGTATGAGCTAGATTACCAGACTACCACTGACAGGTACTCCTGTTACTGGTCCGGGTTTGATGATCCCCACTCTGGACTTATGTCCTTCCATGTTAGTGTTGGGACTCAGCCTTATTTGGACGATGTTCAGATCACAACTCATGCTGGTCTGGGATCAGGTATGTTTCTATACGCCTCCTCGTGTTTACATGTACTGTAGACACTGTGAAACCAAAGGCCAGATTCAGAAATGTCTACTGACACAATATCAGTTGCAAACTGTTTTCACGCAACATACTTTAGACACTGGAAGTGATTGGGTTCGAATTTTGGTGTGAATCTTTATAAATTAAGTTCAGTAATGAAGTGCCCACATAACACTCACAAAATGTTACAGATGTGCTTCCCTGAATACCCCAGTAAGTATTTCTAAAATGATTTAATAATGCCGTGTTCTTTGCAGAGCTATCATGGGCAGGAGACTTGCCTGTCGGGATACAGCTCTACTGCACTGTTGAGGCGTGTAACCATGCAGGTCTTTGCTCAAAGTCTGCATCAGATGGGATCATTCTCGACAACTCGCCTCCAGTGCCTGGCATGGTCTTTGTGGGTCATGATGGACAGCACCACAAATATCATGGACACGTGTAATTATATTCAATATTCTGAAGTTATGCATTATACGTTAATGTCAAAAAGTTGTGGCAACCTTATGTTTACATTGTCCCAATGTTACCTGCATGCAACGCTATTCTGTGGACTTCAATTTATGTTGTCACAACGTTTTATGAACGTTGTAGTTATGTTGTATGTTAATGTTGAAGTTTACGTTTCAAAATACACATGATCATGACAATAAGTCAGACACTGTTACCCTTTATGCGTGTACAGTGTGCAGCAGGAAGCAAAATATGAATGGCAGACTTCGTAATTAACACTTTATCTTCAACTTTCAGTCATGTATTATGACCGTTGAACTTCAAGAGACGGTTCTGTAGATTTTTAGAAGACTTGCATACTGATTTGCAAGAAACTTCTTTCTTTGATTCAAAATTCCATTTCATTGAAATACCTTCAAGAGGTCATGGAATGAAACAACTGCACTTACGTTTACATACTTCACAACCCCTTGTGTGTTTGAATTGTTTCTCAAGACATCAAACATTTGTGTTGGCATCTCCTGGAATGCTCGTTCGTTTCATGCTAAACGGGTTTCAGAACGGGGTCTGGATTTACCCATTATTAACACGTTGTTAAGCGTTTTATATATATATATATATTATATATATACACGGGTCTTCAGCTTGGTTACTGAATGATAACGTTTGTTTTTTGGTCAAATCATATTTTCAAATGTATACTTTCATTTTCATACATAATATTAAGAGATGGTATAAATGGTTAACTGCAGGTTATATCAATAGCATTGTATGAAGCCGTAGCAGAACTTTTTCACAAAGTAAAATTGTAACGTTGTCAAATACGTTGTGAAATAACGTTAAATCGCGACGTAATGCCCACGTTGTAAACACGTTATATCATGACCTTACCAATCCAAATGCATTGTGGTTTCTGGGTCAGTGTGCAGTGTTATCGTTGATATTAGTCATACTTCATGCACTTACATATCCATAGAATCGCTCTCCATTGTGTTGTAGTTCAATCCTTGTTCATTTTACGTTACATGTATTATTGGTATTTCAGTTCCACTCTTACTGCACAATGGTTTGGATTTGAGGACCCAGAAACAGGAATAAACCACTTCGACTGGTGTATTGGAACATCCACGGGAAAATGTGATGTCCTTCCAAGTATTAACAACCTCCTTTCTGACTCAGTTCTTAAAACTGGTCTTAAGCTGCCATCTGGTCATCCCCTGTATGTTACTGTCAATGCTACAAACCCAGCAGGTCTAGTGGCCACATCCACTTCAGACAGTTTCATCGTTGACGCATCCCCACCAGTAGCGACAAAAAAACCTACGTTTACATCACCCTACTCTAAAAACATATCTGCTGTGAATGTGCAGTGGGAGAACTCCATGCTTCATCTTCGATGGAAGTTCACAGATGCTGATAGTCCCATTCAAAGGCACCTGGTATCTCTGTCTACTCATAATGATGGAGCATCTGCTGTTGAAAGTATTCATCTGGGCGCTCAGGACTCCACCACCATCCTTTTTGAAGCAGGGAATCTAATGAGAAGTGGAGATGTCTACACCGCCACTGTCACTGCCTGTACTGCTGCAGATCTCTGCTCCACAGCCACAAGTAACCAGATTCGTATAGATTCTACTCCCCCACAAATGGGAGGATTCAAATCCCCTTTAGCATGGGAAAATGCCATTGAGAAAGGTGTAAGCAAGACACGTGTGAACCTGAAATGGCTTGGCTTCGTAGACGCTGAATCTGGAATCCAGGTCTATCATATCTCTGTCAGTCGAACATTTGATGGCAATGAGTTATCGAGAGGGATCGTGGAAATGAAACATGACAATAATTCCACTGAACAATCATCTTCCTTCATACTCAGTGATCAGATCAAAACTGGAGAAAATATAATTCTGACAATCTCAGCAACAAACACCGCCGGCCTATCAAGCGGAGTTGGTAAGATGACTGTGGCAGCTGTTGCCTCTGATGCGAAACATACAAAAGGGATGCTGGAACTTCAACGCCACTCATGCTCAGTTCATTACTGCACTGGCGACTGCACATGTGGCATTTTAGGACAGCACTGTCAACTAAATTCCTCTCAGCAGGAATGTCCTGGTCCTACCACTAAATGGAAGAGTACTGATGTTGTTGTACATTTTGGACTAGAGTCAGATACTACAGTTACCAGCTCATCATCATGTCTGACTGCTCATTGGGAGGCCTCATCGTCACAAGTTTTGAACAAAATCTCTCGATTTCAGTGGAGCTTTGGGGAAAAGGAAGACCGACCAGAAAATGATACCTTAACGACTATATGGCGTGATGTAGGGAAAGGTACAAGCGTCATACACTGCCTTCCTAACGGGGATTCCTTGCATCATGGTACAGAATATACCATCTACGTGAAAGCCTGGTTTAGCTTTAGTGAATATGCTGTGTTCCAGTCTCGTAGTATCCTGGTTGACCACACACCACCTGCAGTTCAGAGGGCTAAGTCACCTCTAGATTCAGATGTGTCTTGTAAAATGGACTTGGAATATTTCAGTCATGGACAACCAATAAGAGCATGTTGGGAAGGCGTATTCAACGACACACAAACGACATTGAAAGGCTTTGAAATTTCGCTTGGCTCATCACCAGGAGGTATGTACGAAATATCTTGATTGCAAAAATTTACGCCTGTCGCAAACATCTGCGAGACACACCTGTGTTATGGTTTCCCTCAATAATAAGATGACACATTATATGGCTTTAATACACCACAGGATAATATTAAACTCAAACACTAAAAGTGAATTCAGTTTTGACAGACATTTCATCTCAGCTACTCTTATCATAAATGTAATGATAAAAAGTAAATAATGCCAAATACTTTATCTTCCTCACAATTACTAAATGGACAAGATGATTTTGATGACCACTCACGCATAGACATCTTGAACATTAACCGTATTGTTTTCTCTGATTGTAGGAGATGAAATTATACAAGCAAAGTTCACAGGTATTGCGACGTCCTATCCGATCCCTGTGGGACTCCTAAAAGGTGGTACGAAATACTACACTAGCATCAGAGCAACCAACTCGGCCGGTCTGCAGACTGTAGCAGTGTCTGATGGTTTTGTAGTTGATGATGCACCACCTGTAGTTGGTGTAGTCTTCAACACTGACCGCCACAAGAACATCGAGTTTCAGTCATCAAGCACAACACTGAAGGCTTCGTGGCATGGATTTGAAGACTATCATTCCTATGTTCAGAGGTTTGAAATCGCAGTTTTAAAAGAAGGAGAACATATCCTGGACTCCATGTTCAAGTACAATGGAATGGAAAATGAGATCACCATAGAAAATCTGAAACTAGAAGAGAAGAAGAGGTATCGCATTGCAGTCAGAGCAGTTGATGCTGCAGGCCTTCGCAGTAGTACTGCTGAGTCTCCAAGCATACTGATTGACACATCAGCGCCTAAGGCGTTTAAATGCATATCGTTTCACGACAAGAAATTGAGCTTTACTAGACGTAGGTACCAATCACGTCAATACGACGCAATAGCGCTAAACGCCGTTGAGCATCTGCAGGAGAATACATTCTATCAGATCACAGTGAGAGGCGACTTGGACATTCATATGTCTCGTGTCATTTTCTCACTTGGCAGTCTCCATATTCCGGCTATGTTTGAAAGAAATATCTCAGTAATACAGGCCTCACATAGTTTCCTGGTCTCGCATTCTGGCCTTACTAACATTACTATATCAATTACGGGGACTAATGCATCACATGCCTTAGATGTGCAACTTGGGGTGTGTCAAAACGTAGCAGAGACTGATCCAACAAATGGCATCACAGTTCGGCAAATCCGACCGTCTGTTGTTGCTGTTTGTGCCAGGGTAATAGATCATGAAAGTGGAACTAAAAGTGTGTGGCTTGGAGCAGGAACAAGCAAGGGAGGATACCAGATCCGTGCCCTGTCTCCAACGTCTGTCAGCAACCATGAAATGATTCTGGTGGAAGAGCCACATGGTAGCCCTGTTCATGTTACGGTGATGGCAGAGAACAATGCTGGTCTCAGAACCATCTTCACATCCAAGCCAATCACCATCGACCATACTCCACCAAAGATGACTAATTCACAAGCAACGGCCGCTTTTCAAACGCATAACGTCTTTCTTAAGATGCGTTGGCAGGTTGAAGATGCGGAAAGTGGAATAAACACGTGTTTGTGTACATATGGTAAAAGGGGTGTTTTCTACCTTCTACTCACTAAGAGTACAGTTATTACAATTATTACTGGTGTATATGACATGAAAAATATAATCCATAACGAATTTATGCTTTGGAGCCATGCTGAACCAATAATATTCAAGTGCCATGTTGGACCAAGAACTATAAATCTTAACATCTTAAAACTGCATGATTAATGGCTTCTTAGAATGAACTTTTTGGTCAGTATTGAAACATATCAAAATGTTATCAATATGTATACGTCTACAAATTCTCGCATAGGATATATGAAGTTGTAATCAATTTACTGTTCACAGGAGCACACCCTCTGTCCTATGAAGATCACACATGGGAGAAGTCGCAGAGCTTGACTCACTGCGAACTGAAGAACATCTCTGCCCCTCATGACAGTGTTCTCTACGTGTGGGCCCGTTGTATCAACAACGTAAACTTGGAGACAGTTATCAAGTCACAGCCTCTGCATCTTGTAAATCATCCTCCTGCGCTCCCGCAGAACTCTCTGAAAGTCATTGTGGACAATAGGATACCCTTTCCCTCCAAAATCCAGGCATACACTGACCGTGTGGAATTCGCTTGGCAAGAAGCGAATACTCCTTGGATCGGTACCTATGAATGCCGCCTTCTCGAACATGGTAAACCTGTAGCAAATTGGGTATCTACAGGAAAGAAGACCTTTGCAACACTTGACGGGTTGAGTCTACGAGATGGACATGTGTATGACATCCAGGTCCGCGCTGTGAATGCGGGGTCCCAGTACAGCAATGTTCTCAACAGTACCATAGCAGTCGAGAGTCGGTCGCCCTCGACCACAGGTACGCATGAATACTTGGTAGGATGATAAGAGGTGAAAGATTGAAGACATCCTTTGGGCATTGATATTATTGTTATTGTTATGATGCCAGTTGAAGTCAGTATGATAGAAATTTTGAAACAATATGAGTGTTAGAAGTATTATGACAATCATCAGTTGAATATTAACATATTTGTTTTGTTCAGGGGTCAAGCCGACAGCGACACTGGTGAAAGGACACCTAAACGTAGACTGGCCAAGAGTATTTGATGATTTGAAGATGCAAACCAGATATGAGACAACCATTGGGACTAGACAAGGATTTAATGACATTGTTAGAGACAGAGTTTCCTTTGACACACATCTGACAACTATCACCCATGCAAATGTACATGAAATCTTTGTGACAATCAAAGCAAATTTTGTAACTGGGAAGTTTGGCATATATTCCCACGTTGTTTCTCTACATTAACTACCATATATGCCTGACCACAGAACTGACTTTAAAGGACCCCACATGTCGATGGGTGTGGTTGCTTCTGTACATCATATATATTCAAGATAACCTTTCTGAACGGAAAATATATAACAGAGGATATTATTCGCTATAGTTTGTTAGTTGCTGTGCTTTTTATTTTAATAAAAGGAACGAAATCCGAACATGGCTTTCTTTTAATTCAGAATCATGTGTGCATGTGCACTACTTTACTATCGGATATAAAGTATGAGGTCAACCACAGAAAAATAAATGAAATTGCTGTTTAGGACATCCTCAGCAAGCTACTAACTTACAGTTCTCAACAGAAGACCCGTTCACCAAACTCGGACCTGATTGGCTTGCCGTGTCACGTGCTGTGATCCATGGGTATCGCCATATTGAAAGGGACCATCTCATGTTTACATCTCAAATTATATATAGGTTATACATTGTCCAGTAGAGGCCGCAGCTCCACCGTCACCACAGAAAACGTACAAACACAACGTTCTCCCACACGACAAGTATGTATGACAGTAGGTCAAGGGCATATTTACGCATCTTTAACCACACACGCTGTATTTTACTCCAACAGTACCGTGTCGCTAAATAAGTGCAATAATCTTGCACGCGACGTTTAACCCCATTTCACCTTCACCTCCAACAGTACGTTCTTGTGATGAACATAGAAGATGGCAGTTGTCCTTTGTATGAACTCTTCTGATACCATTTGCTATGGAGGAGATAATGTCGCATTATCACCCTTACAAATACGAGCAATGCGTATCAAAATAAACCAAAGTGCAACAAAGGCCTTGTTCTTACCATTTGTCGCGATGTAGAAATATTCTTGATGTTTACTAAAGTAAAGAATATTTCAAGGCCATTATGTGTGTCATAATGTGTAACGTTGTCACATTGTAGCCAAATGTGATTTTTGTGAAGTAAGAGGTTAAAATGCGCGACAATGCGACATATTGATAATGTGGCGTTGTCGCTCATTTCCATTAATCATAGGCACGTGTAGTAAGTAAATTAATGGACAACAATACTGCAGTGGTCCTTTGTTAACTACAGTGATTATATAAGTACCAATGACAATGTCAATTGCTTTTCTCAAAATCAAACAAAACAGCAGAGCAAAAGCAAACTTATTTTTTTCTATTTCATATAATTTTTGTCCCCAGGGGACATGGAGTAAGTCGTTTTAGACACATGCATCACTCAGGGCACTCCTCCCACATCAAGTTGACACACTGTGAAAAACTTGCTCGCTCGTTCACATCAATGAATTCGCTGTGCAGAGTTGAGTCCTCTAAGCGTGAGAGGTACCTATCATCGTGGGTTCGAATCCTCGATTCATCCTGATTACCTTTCTTGGTTCGGACTGTGTCATTTCCGTCTTTCCCCCGATATTAATACGACACGATACGACATAACTGAAATACTATTCAGAGCGGCGTGAAACAATACTCACTAACTCATAGTTAGATTAAGACATGTATACTCATAAAAATAAATAACGCTTAGGTGGTACTGACATACATATATGAAAGGCATAAACATATGAACGAAATTTGAAGCGCAGTATCCTCTCTGGACTATAGCGACGTGACCGACCCAGGCTAAGCCGACTACGTGTCACATGCAGCTACCCGGGAACGCGTCATGCCACTGCTTCATTTGTTTCATATACGACGACAAGGATGTCTCACCAGACAGAAAGAGGGATAGCCTAGTGGTTAAAGCGTTCGCTCGTCACGTCGAAGACGCAGGTTCGATTCCCATATGGGTACAATGTGTGAAGCCCATTTATGGTGTCAACCGCCGCGATATTGCTGGAATATTGCTAAAAGCGGTATAAAACCATACTCACTCCCTAACTTACTAGACAGTACGGAACCGCATTCATAAGGCAAGTCTCAGAGCAAGATGACCTGCCAGAGGTATTTTGACGCAACATCTGGGACGTCAGTGGTGTCAAGAACCTAGAGTGAGGCTTGATCAGCGATGGAGAACTGTCGCCATGAACGTTTTGCTGCCAGCTGGATACAGAACGTGGACGACTTTGGCGGTGGCACAATAATAATGATGTTGGCGGATAGCTATTACGCTGGTAGAATGCATCTGGCGCAAGAGCAAGGCAACTTAACAGCCACTAATGTGAGTGAGTATATTTTAGCAATATACCAGCAATATCACGTCGAGAAGCACCCGAAATGGCTTCACACATGTAGGGAATCGAACCCGGGTCTTTGACGTGCCGAGCCAAAGCTTTAACCACTTGGCTACCACACGCCCTCCAACACACATACACAGATCACAATATACCCATACGAATAATTTTTAACATCCCTATATTAAGACTCATATATCTAGGGTGACAATATTTATTAGCATTGGTATATTGAAATGCAAATACTCAAATGGCCTAGTATACAGAAAGATATTAAAACATTAAACGCAAAGTCTATTTATTTTGTAAGATTGAGAGTGATTTCAAACTCCAATTTCGTATAACTGTTTGATTGTCATTCTAAGAATTTCTTACGTAAGTTTGCATGGTGTATAACACCGCACTCAGCAATAGTCTGTGAATAATCGAGTCTGGACCAGGCAATTGATTGATTGACGTCGATCTACGCAATTGGGATAAGACGACATGAACAAATCAATGGTATATTTCTTTTATCAGTTCAAGACATTTGGCTGACGAAAAACGACACCGACAGTAACGAAATACGAAATTATGTCTAAAGCAAAAATGGAAGATTTGTCATAATTTTGAGACAAGTAACCCACTTTCCCACTTTGTATTTAAGAATAATTGGAGCCAATAATACACTTTTTATTTTGGGCGATAATGTGACAACCTCGATATATTTTGACCTTGAAAAAATGTCGTGTTGCCGCAAATTGCGATAGTGCGACAAATGGTCAAAACGTTGTCGCATAGTACCGATTTGTTTAATTTCAACATCTTTTGCTTATATTTCTAAGGGTGACAACGCAACATAAGTTTCCCCAGATTTTAAACTTGCAATATTTAGGGTTTCATCTATTTGATCTATGTAATATGTATATCTGTTGGTATTCGTTCAATGGTGAACATTCATTAGATATTCCTCCATACAGACTGTATACATTGCTGTTTTAGTGACATTTCAGAACAACTTATACTTAGTGAGTGAGTACCCAGACTTGTAATTAAAAAATATGACGATTGTATGAAACAGTATCATGATTTAGATATATAATGTACACACTGCACTGGAACACACTACAACATGATCCACAATCGATAATTGGTTCCCATGCAGATATGATATAATTCAATGACTTATAAATGAAAACGTTAATAGGATTTGAAAAATATAAAGCACGTACATACACAGTGGTTGCATAAATAAATAAAACAATCAAAATGAGTTAAAACGATTGTTTTGGCGTCGTATCATTTCGATACAATGCGAGGACGCTAACATAAACTCCGTCGGTTCGAACGCACTTGAGTTTTGGAGGTCATATGGTATTCCCCCCGCAAGCCTTTCTTGGCATTCACACAGGGCGTTACAATCTTCAACCGTCGAGCGGGACAACAGAAAACTTTAGTGTTTAATATCTGCCCTTTATTATCGTTGTTTAACCTTGGTCCACATCATGCTTGTTGCGTTGATATTGTATTGGACATTAGTTCAAAGTCTGATAGATCTTTACCTGACAATACTTAAGTTTTGTATATAATACCGACAGAATTAACACGCATTATCATGCTTTCAAGCATCAAACAAGAACCCTAACGACGAAATTGGAGTGTTTGATAATGTCAAGCCTAAATACATAGAACAAGTTTATTTAATTTTTGAAGCCATTTTGCCATCTATCAAAGTAGGTCAGAATATGATTATTTAATAATTGGCGGCACGGCACGTGTTCCTTGCTCATCGCACAGGTAATTAATCAGGTGAAGCAATGTTGGTCGCGGAGAGTAGGTGGATGGGTGACCATGTTCGGCACCTTGGCACCTGATTGTTTCTAGGGCTTCGATCCTGCCCCACATTGAAGCCACATCTTCTTGGCCAAGTGACGTTCAAATTATGCCTCTGTTCACCCAGTAGTGAATGGGTACCCTGTTGGATGAGATGCAATATGGTTGTTAACCCTCTAGCGCCTCACAGGCAGCTGGGTTGTATACACCCCTAGGAGCTGAGAAGAATTGTTGAGTGCACACTGATTCATTTTCTGGTGGAAAGATGTCTAAGTGCTTAGAACATGCTTGTGCATGGAATACAGCACCATATAAATGGACTATTATTATTACATGACTTACATTGTGGTAGGATTTCACAGTCACCTGGGTAAACAACAGCACAAACTAAAGTTGGTATAAACAGCTGTGGTGGTATCACAAGAGTGAGTGAGTTGGGTTTATCGCTGCTTTTAACAGTATTCCAGTTATATCACGGCATGTCAGCTTAATGTGGGAGGAAAGCCCGCAGTGATTAAGGTCTCAGACGTTTACAACCTCGGTGAAACCCCACGAGCACGGGTATGGTGCATAATCGGGGCGAACCGGGATTCGAACCCACAATCATAGGTTTCAGGCATGCCCAAGGGACGCAACTCTGCACAGCGCGGCGCCTTAGACGACTGGGCCACCCGTGCCCCCTATCACATGACCTACCTAATATCATACTATATCCATCTATAAACAGATCCCAGGTGTGTGTACCCCAAAATATCAAGTAACCTCCCTGTTAACAATACACCAGGCAAAGTTGTCGCAGGTGTGAGTCTTATTTCAAATATGGCCTAACCTTCCACAATTTCAACCAATTCAGTCGAATGAGAACCAAGAGTGATGGACGAATGGAACCGGAGCCCCAATAAGGTATAAAGAGATTTTGCAATCCATGTGATGCCAGTCACGGCACTCCTGAAGTCACTGCCATGAAGTAAATCTTTTGTATATCGTCCAAATGTAATTTCTCTGTGCCGAACACACGTCCTTCACAATACAAGTGTGGCGGTGGGGTAGCCTGGTGGTTTAAGCGTTCGCTCGTCACGCCCAAGGCCATTGTTCGAATCCAAACATGCATAAAATGTTTGAATCTCCGCTGGAATAATGCGAAAAGCGGCCCTCACACAATACAAATTAAGTTTTACATATCAATACATCAATATGTGTTTATGCATGATGAAATAAACCCAACATAATTGGATTCTATGAAGAAATACATGTATACGTTCTGTCATGTGGCAGTATACATTACAAAATTGATAAATATCCAGTGATACACATGTATTCACTGAACGCTAGTCAACAACCAACAATATACAACACATACAAAAACAACCAAAAATTTCCATGATCTTATTCACAAATTTGCTTCATAATAAGAATGAAAGTTATAGACTGTGGTGCTATTCGCGAAGGAAAAGCTTGAATGTCAGTGTTATGCAAGCATCATCATTTGATATGTTATATCCTCTCACTGATTGGGGTTACGGGTGGCCCAGTCGTCTATGGCGCCGCGATCCGCTGTGCAGAGTTGCGTCCACTGGGCACGCCAGAAATCTATGATTGTGGGTTCGAATCCCGATTTGCCCCGATTATGTTTCTAGGTTTGTCAGCACCATACCTGTGCTCGTGGGGTTCACCGAAGTGGTAAACGTCTGAGACCTGCATTTCTTCCCATATTTAGCTGACACACCGGGATATAACTGGAATACTGTTAAAAGCAGCGTTAAACTCAACTCACTCACTCACCCTTCACTGATGATTGATTTCTTGAGCTGTGTTGAATATGAACTGGTTGCCGTTCATTCTGTATTCGAGTTTCCCCTCATGCTTCGATCCCATACTGAAACACGTAACGTGTGGTGTCTCTTGTGACACCATATAGGGAATCAACTGGGGTTGTAAACTCCCCAGGAAGTAGAGAATGAGTGCACACTGATCCACTGACCGTAGTAATCATGAAGGGATTTGAGCATGCTTCATTCTTGTTGAGTCTTGTTGAGGTGTATAATTGGTCACCGGTCCAACTGAGAAGTCCTCCGATGTAGTCCTATTTGGGACACATTCCTACCTTAGACGCGTGGTTAAGATTCATGAAGATGAGCACTTCAATGTCACGCACTCAGTGTTTAATTAGATGGAAGGATCAACATTTCCAAGGACCTTTATGCTCATGTTCGAAAGGAGATTTGTGATTTGTGTTAGTTATACTCATACAACATCATGCCTCATACAAGAAACAGGTGAGGTGAGGTGAGGTGAGGTGAGGTGAGGTGAGGTGAGGTGAGATGCAGTGAAGTGGGCTTCAACGTCGTGTTCAAGATTGCTGCACCTATATATATTGTGTATGTGCGTGCGTGCGTGCGTGCGCGCGCGCGCGTGTATGTGTGTGTGTGCTTGTACCAGCCTGACCAATCCCAGTTTTATAGTGCTAGCCAACTGAGATACCATGCCACAGTTTAACACTGATACTCCATTCAGACACAGTTGACTGATTTTCCTTGTTTTATCCCCTCAATGCCGAGTGCAAGGCATGGTAACAACAAGTACCATCTTTTAACGTATTATTGGTAGGTCGGAGTCGGGGATCCACTAGACCACCGAGGCGGTAGACTCATAAATATAATATGCGTTAGGGTATAAACCCGTGTTGAAAGCGTCTCGTCGTGAAGTATAATATATAAATAAATATATGAAGAGAACCATATTAACAGTTTTATATTGACTTCATTTATTTAAAAGCAAAGCAGACATACTTACACCAAAAAACAAGCAAATATTTCCTCTATTAAAAACACAATACACTTCCAATTTGAGACATGTGATGGTTTAATTATTTAATTATATGGACATGGATCAACAAAACAACAACACAATTCATTTCAAGCAAGCTTCAATTAAATTACCTTTGCAGCTAATAAAGGGCTAGAAAGTGTGAATAAATGCCGAATTTCCCAGTTTCGGTATTTGCTTTGATTGTTACAAAGACGCCAGGTTCATTTGTATATGTTGTTGCAAGCAGATAAGTATCTGTGGTAACCTTTTGTTGAATTATGTCTGCAAATCCTTGTCTTGTACCAATGGTTACATCATATTCAGTCTTCATGTTGAAACTGTCAAACACATTTGACCAGTCTACCGTGAGGTGTCCATTCACCAGTGTTGCCGTGGGCTCGACCCCTAAGAAAATGCAAGATGGATTCGAATGTTCATTGTTTGGATGAAACACGACTGTTTCTTCTTATTATTTTGCTACTACTACTACTACTACTACTACTACTACTACTACTACTACTACTACTACTGCAGCTTCTACTACTATTGGTACTACTACTACTACTACTACTACTACTACTACTACTACTACTTCAACGACTACTGATGCTACTATTACCATTCTTATTCTAGTAACTCTCGACTGGTATGCTACATTTCAAACATTTCTGCCACAATAACTTCAAATGTTACCATGACAATAATGATATCACTGCTATATTGATGTACATCTTTCAGAAGCAAGAGTGTCCACTGGCTAATATGTCTATTTTTAACCCTTGCCCTTTCAGGCCGACATTTCTGTGTGAAAAAGAGAAGCTCGGGAGACATCTGACATATCGATAGTCGTATCAGAGAACGTTTTACAAAATCAGCATCGGGGTTCAGAAAGTTTGGGCGTTGTTATCGCGTGTCAAATTTGCGCTGAAACTATTAAAAAAATAGCGAAGATAAATATTTTCGAAGTCTTTACTGATTTGTAACTGTGCCGTTTATATATTGGATGCAAATTTATTTACATTTTAACTCTAACACAGTGATTGAGAAGCAATGCTATTTTCTGATGACCCAAGCTCAACGTCTCATGTTACCGCGATGTGCAGTGTCATATGATACTGTACATTCCGTGAGCCTCTGTAATAGTATAAATGAAAAAAAGTCAGGAATGATTATCTTTACTCTGGCAATCTGTCACGTGGGTTGATACTGAAGGAAGAAAAACTCGAATCTTTTCATTATTTGATCAACAAGGTCGCCTTCTTTGGTAGTCGTCATCTGTGTGAAGACGTTCGAAATATGAACCGCGATCTGATTGGATGTCGTGTTACCGTAACATGAGGCCAAACCTGAGCTCTACATGGAGTGGAGCCGCGATCGAGCCAAGAAAAGTGGAACTGAAAGGGCAAGGTGAAAGCTAGAATTCAAATTGGCACTCTTGCTCTGGGAAGATGTCTGATGTCATATTCCTCCACTGCTGTGCTATGCTACTTGTACTACAATACCACCTACTCATACGTACCTGTGATCAAAGGCGACCGGCTCTCGACTGTTATGGTACTGTTGAGGATATTGCTGTACTGGACCCTGCCATTCACAGCGCGGACCTGGATTTCATACACATGTCCATCTTGGAGACTCAACCCGTCAAGTGTTGCATAGGTCTTCTTTCCTGTAGATACCCAATCTGCTACAGGTCTACCATGTTCTAGAAGGCGACATTCATTGCCCCAGATCTCAGGAGTGTTCCCATTCTGCCAAACGAACTCTATGTGGTCGGTGTAAGGTTGTGTGGTAGTCGAGACGAGTCCTGAAGATATCTGATTGTCCACAAGGACTTTCAAAGAGTTTAGCGGGAGAGCAGGAGGGTGGTATACAACCTGCAGGGCTTCTGAAGTGATAGTTGTCTCCATGTTTACATTGTTGAGACAACGGACCCATGCATAGAGGAAACTGCCTTGAGGAGCAGGGATATTCTGGATTTCACAACTAGTCATTGCCAGTGACTGCATCCAAATAGGCTCGTAAGTATGTGGGGTTCCTGAAATTAAAAAAACATGTGCAACGCATTTCAAAAGCTTGACTGCAGTGTTAAAACGAGACTTTGAGGATATATGATCTTCTGTTTTCTGCAATATACAACACCGCTTTACACATTTTTGTTTGTAAAGTAAAAAAATGTCCATTACCATATGTACATAAGCACCAGTCTATTCCACTTTCGTCATCTTCGACCTCCCACGTCATCTTAATAGAAACAGTATTAGATCCTTCTGTGTATTCAAGGCTTGATGATGCAAACCTAATCTCTGGTGGAGTGTGGTCGATGGTGATTGGCTTGGATGTGAAGATGGTTCTGAGACCAGCATTGTTCTCTGCCATCACCGTAACATGAACAGGGCTACCATGTGGCTCTTCCACCAGAATCATTTCATGGTTGCTGACAGACGTTGGAGACAAGGCACGGATCTGGTATCCTCCCTTGCTTGTTCCTGCTCCAAGCCACACACTTCTTGTCCCGCTTTCTTGATCTATTACCCTGGCACAAACAGCAACAACAGACGGTCGAATTTGCCAAACTGTGATGCCATTTTCTGAATTGGTCTCTACTATGTTTTGACATTCACTGAGTGTTACATCTAAGGCATCTGATATATTAGTGCCGGTGATTGATATACTTATGTTAGTAGGGCCGGAATTGGGGGCCAGGAAGCTATGCGATGCCAGTGTTTGTACAGTTTTCTTCTCAAACATAGCCGGAATATGAAGTTTGCCAACTGTAAAAATGACATTTGTCGTGTGGATGTTCAAGTCGCCCACAACCCTCATCTGATAGAATGTTTTCTTCTGCAGATATTCAGAGGTGTGAAGTAGAATGGAATTATGCCGAAGATATGTGTAATTAGCAGAAGTAAAGTTCGATGTCCTGTCAAGAAAAGATGTGCATTGAAAGGCTTTTGAAGCTGATGTGTCAATCAGTATGCTTGGCGACTCAGCAGTACTACTGCGAAGGCCTGCAGCATCAACTGCTCTGACTGCAATGCGATACCTCTTCTTCTCTTCTAGTTTTAGATTTTCTATGGTGATCTCATTTTCCATTCCATGGTACTTGAACATGGAGTCCAGGATATGTTCTCCCTCTTTTACAATCGCGATTTCAAATCTCTGAACATAGGAATGATAGTCTTCAAATCCATGCCAAGAAGCCTTCAGTGTTGTGTTGGATGACTGAAACTCGATGTTCTTGTGACGGTCAGTGTTGAAGACTACTCCAACTACAGGTGGTGTATCATCAACTACAAAACCATCAGACACTGCTATAGTCTGCAGACCAGCCGAGTTGGTTGCCCTGATGCTACTGTAGTATTTCGTACCACTTTTCAGGTATGCCAGAGGAATCGTATATGAAGTTTGTTTACCCACGGATGTTTGTGGTATGGTGTCATCTCCTGGAATAAAGAAAATATATCAATACAGACGTGTCCACTGGCATAATGTTAAGTGTCAGTTCATTTAATTAAGTTATTAAAGGAGTATATTCGTACCTTCAGGTGACGTTCCAACCCAAATTTCAAAGCCTGTCAATGTTGTTTGTGTGTCGTTGAACACTCCTTCCCAACACGATAATACTGTTTGTCCATGACTGAAATATTCCAAGTCCATTTTGCAAGACCCATCTGAATCCAGGGGTGACTTAGCCCTCTGAACTGCAGGTGGTGTGTGGTCAACCAGGATACTATGAGACTGGAACACAGCGTAATCACTGAAGCTAAACCAGGCTTTCACGTGGATGATATATTCTGATCCATGCTGAAGTGATCGTCCTCGAGGAAGGCAGTGTATAAGCCTGGTACGTTTCCCTATTTCCCGCCATACAGTTTCAGTTTTGAGATCAAATATTCCAACTCCTGGTGATTTTCCTTTTTTCCCAATGCTCCATTGAAATCGAGTGAATGAGTTTAATACCTGCGATGAAGAGGCCTCCCAATGGGCAGTTAGACATGATGATGAGCTGGTAACTGTAGTATCTGCCTCAAGACCAGGATGTACAACTATGTCGGTACTCTTCAGTTTACTGGTTGTATCAGTGCAGTTCTGCTGTGTTGAAGTCAGCAGACAACGCTGTCCTAAAACAGCACATGTGCAGTCCCCAGTGCAGTAATGAACTGAGCATGAGTGGCGTTGGAGTTCCAACATCCCCTTTGTATGTTTCACATCAGTGGCAACAACTGCCACCGTCACCTTTCCTACTGCACTTGATAGGCCAGCGGTATTTGTTGCTGAGATCGTCAGGATTATATTTTCTCCAGTTCTGATCTGATCACTGAGTATGAAAGAAGATGATTGTTCAGTAGTGTGTTTGTCATGTGGTATTTCAGCAATACCGTTCGACAGTTCAGTACCATCAAATGTTCGACTAACAGAGATAAAATAGGCCTGGATTCCAGATTCAGTGTCTGTAAAGCCAAGCCATATCAGGTTGAAACGTGTCTTGGTTACACCTGTGTCTGTGATACTTTCCCATACCATTGGCGATTCGAATCCTCCCAGATGTGGGGGAGTAGAGTCTATACGAATCTGGTTACTTGTGGCTGTGGAGCAGAGGTCTGCAGCATTACAGGCAGTGACAGTGGCCGTGTAGACATCTCCACTTCTCATTAGATTCCCTGCTTTGAAGAGGATGGTGGTGGAGTCCTGAGCGCAAATGTGTATATTTTCAATAGCAGATGATCCATCGTGATGAGTAGACAGAGACACCATGTGCCTTTGAATTGGACTATCAACGTCTGTGAACTTCCATCGAAGATGAAGCATGGAGTTCTCCCACTGCACATTCACAGCAGATATGTTTTTAGAGTAGGGTGATGTAAACGTAGGTTTTTCTGTTACTACTGGTGAGGATGCGTCAACGATGAAACTGTCTGAAGTGGATGTGGCCACTAGACCTGCTTGGTTTGTAGCATTGACAGTAACATACAGGGGATGACCAGATGGCAGCTTAAGACCAGTTTTAAGAACTGAGTCAGAAAGGAGGTTGTTAATACTTGGAAGGACATCGCATTTTCCCGTGGATGTTCCAACACACCAGGCGAAGTGGTTGATTCCTGTTTCTGGGTCCTCAAATCCAAACCATCGTGCGGTGAGAGTGGAACTGAAATGTCATTACAGATAAGGTAAAATGAACCAGGATTGAACTACAATATATTTGCAGAGATATTCCAAGGAATGTGTAAGTACATGAGGTATAAGTGATGTCAACGATTATTATATACACTTACTCATGGTGAATTAACACATTGTTTAACAGAATAATGAATATAGTTACACGTGTCCATTATATTTGCGATGCAGTCCATCATGTCCCACAAAAACTATGCCAGGTACTGGAGGCGAGTTGTCCAGAATGATCCCATCTGATACAGACTTTGAGCAAAGACCTGCATGGTTACAAGCCTCAACACTGCAGTAGAACTTTATCCCGAGAGGCAAGTCTCCAGTCCATGACATTTCTGGGAAACAATCCAACCAATAATATGTGATTTCAGAAATAAGTGGTTTCTCACTATATGTTAGGAGTCAATTAACAATTCTCCGGTTAAAAAGCGTTGGTCAATTCTAGTGTAGTTAAACCTGACGATGTAAAACCTAATTTATGAATGCCACAATGTATAAGGAACATTCAAATTAAATAATTATTGTTTTCAAATGTATTTATCTAGGTATAGATATCTGTCTGCACCTGTTCCTAATCCTGTATGTGTGTCTGTCTCTACATCATCCAGATAGGGCTGAGTCCCAAGACTAACATGGAAGGAGGACAACCCAGAGTGGGGATCATCAAATCCAGACCAGTGACAACTGTACCTGTCAGTGTAACTCTGGTAGTCTAGCTCCACCTGAAGCAAATTGTTTGTGGGTGTAAGCTTGTGAAATTTATATTGTAATCTTCGAATTGTTTGGATTCTTAAATCAGGGAATACATTGTAATGTGGACTTAACTCGTTCCATTTATCAGTGCAGGACTCTACCTTGTTTGCATTTTCCCCATCTGCAACAACACCTTTAGTAGGTGGTGACGTGTCCACAGTGAAGGTGTTGGACACTGCTGTAGAAGTCAATCCAGCTCGATTTGTAATCTGAACAAAGATTGCAACAAAATAAAACGTTTCTAATGTTAATGCATTCATCGTGTTATATTTACATACTCCTGTTGGCATTGGTTTGGTTTGGTTTTTGGTTTGTTTTGTTGTTTAACGCCGTACTCAGCAATATTTCAGCTATATGACAGCGGTCTGTAAATAATCGAGTCTGGACCAGACAATCCAGTGATCAATATCATGAGCATCGATCCACGCAATTGGGATCGATGACATGCATTAACCAAGTCAGCGAGTCTGACCACCCGATCCCGTTAGGCGCCTTTTACGAGAAGCATAGTCGCCTTTTACGGCTAGCATGGGTTGCTGAAGACCTATTCTACCCCGGAATCTTCACGGGTCTGTTGGCATTGGAATAACTATTGAAGCAGAAACATTGACAGTCTTGATTGTCTTCATTAGGATTATTTGTAAACTAACGGAAAGGAATGCTTCTGGGCATCATTGACTATCACTGGCAATAATAGAGAAAGCAAACAAAGATTTTGCAAGAGAACGATATATTGATGTTCAGGAAAAATGAATTCAACATGAGAGTGTTAACACATATGAATGTCATCTCAGGTTGAAAGTGGCGTGGGGTCAATTGTCAGTTCACAACTCTGTATCGGGTATGGTCACCATTATATGACACACGTTTGACAATGTCGCCTCACGTCAGCGGTTGGTTCGGAAGTCAATGTAAACGACGTTCCATTTCAGCTCACATCTGTTCGATTGGCAACAGATCGGGTGAAACAGTGAGTTTTGTTTTCCAAAGATGTCTGTGACCACATGTACAACGTGGGAGCGTGTCCTGCTGTGACTACCATGGATCTCAATGAACGGCAGGACGTGAAGACGGATAACTTCGTCACGATACCGTACACCTGCCAGAATGCCACCAGTGATGACTAGAGGGGTGCTGTGGTGTGCAGTGAACGGCTGAACCATGCGTATATGATTATCTTACCGCCGTTACTCGTGAGTGTCCAGTATATATTCAGTCCTTGGTGTATGGTGACTGTATGGTGTCCGTATGAACACCAAATGCATACACACAACGTTTGTGCAATTCGGGTGTCAAACATTCCAGTTGCACATTTTCAGATAACGTTTACAAGGTTTGGCCGTCAACAAAGTTGCTTTTCACATTTAAAACACTTTAACGATTTATTCTAACTTGACTCGGTCCCACGTGCACGTGACGAATTTCTGACATTCCTTCGTGGTGTTCATGGATAAATATGACAAAGTAATTATCAGATATTATTCTGGAAAATCCATGGCGATTGTATTTTTATGTTACTTTTCTGATGCATATGGTTGTTTCTGTTAGCATATAATTAACTTTGTGTTATTTGTGTTTCACTACATTAGGTTTTACACTTAATGTTGTAAATGTAAACCTTTTTTGTAAATGTAACTTACTTAAACAATGAATTAACTGATTTGAATGACGAAATGTAAAATTAATTCCTTTAAGCAACGAATATGCTGATTTGAATAACAAAAAGTACCATTAGTTTTGCAAAATATCCATGTCCATCAGTGAACTTCTTCATGTGAATATCTGCAAATGTCTTCGTATATTTCGTTGAAGGCGACAGTGTTCCAGTGCTGGTCGATCCTATAGAGAGATATGTTGAAAGGATGCCAGACTCAGGATCTTCGAATCCGGCCCAATGGACAGTCAACCTGTCTCCTGACACCACACTATGACTGTCAAGAGTGTCACCAATGAAGATATCGCCTGTCTTAGGTGGTGTAACATCAACCATAACAGCATCAGATGTTGCTGATGTTGAGTGTCCAAGTCGATCATAAGCTGTAATGACAACAGAACAACAGTGATGGCATGTTCCCATATCATTTTAGGAGAACAAACGCGTTCTTAAAAGTGAAAGTGATTTTTACATTTTGTAGTTTATTCAATTTTAGTTTGATAAAGTTAGTTGTTTGGGGGATAGTACTTGTGTTTAAGCTAGTAATCTGGACGTACCTTTCACATTTGCATAGTAGGTTTTGCCATTCTCCAATGTGATGTTCCAAAAGTATGCGGTGTGTACAAAGCCAACATTTGTGAAGATCAGAACATCCTGGCCTCCTGGGTAAGTACCTTGAACACATGAAAGAGGTAACATATTGGGGGTTATATAAATCACACCAAAAGGAAAAATCATTATTAATCGACATATATTAGATAATTAATGGTATTTTGATTTTGTTGGATTCTGAAATCATTATTCAGTACAGCTTGTCTATAACAGTTATGTGAAAGCTTTGTTTCTGTGCAAATATATACATACACTGATCAAAAACATTAGGGATCATGAATTATCTTTTTTATATTCCGAAAACATTCAAGGAAACTAACTAAAATAATATTGCCAAAATTATTCATAATCCCTAACTTTGTTTGGTTAGTATATTTAAAAGTTGATAACTTATAACTAGCAAGGTTTAATAACAGGATTATGCTTATGTTAAATGCACGTACCTATGGCACCTGAGAAGTGAGTTATGCCTGACTCAATGCTATTGAAGATGGATTCTTGTTCATTGAAACCTGACCAAGCCATAACCAGAACATCCGTTTCTGTAAGGAACCCATTTTGTTGGTTCACCACCCAAACATCACCTTTGATAGGGGGCCTGTCATCTATGATAACACCATCTCCACATTCAGATATTGTTAATCGAGTGTTTTCGCTTTGGACACATATATAATATTTCATGCCATCCATTAAATATCGACCATGAAACTTAGCAACTGGTCCTACTTTATCTACACTGGTGATACATTTGTCATCAGATTTACAATCAGGTGGAATGTGAGGGTCTGTCATCAAATACCAGGTGGATGTCCGGCCTTGTAGTCCATGCATAACTCCCGCCAGTTTAATGTTAGACTCGGCAATGTCAGTATCAAAAGACGGAAGATTTGAAACTTGCAGCTTCTCCATCATTTTGATAATTTTTGGAACATCCTTTTGGTCCACTTCAACAAGTCTGTTCCCTTCTTTCCTAGTATGTTGAAGAGTTCTACACGATGTATCAGACAGCCCAGATGGACATATGACTCTGACACAAATGCTGATGACACTGTGAGACTGAACATGGTCCTCAATACAGATGTCAGACTGAAAGGAGAATGGAAAATTATCTCTAACACAGTATCCCCAATGCAAGTAAAGCCCATCAAAACGCTTAACATGATGTGAAGGATATCCAAGATAGCCATATATTCCTGTGTGCAACTGTGGCAAGACTGTTATAAGGTATTATTTTTTATCAGTATTAATTCATGTATAAAAAACGTTACTACTACCTTTCCTGTGGCGAGTGACTGGTCCGTTTGCCAGAAAGTTAACGGATTGTTACGTTTGTCTGCAACTGACCGCTGATAGATGATTGTCTTTCCATCTTCTGGTTCTGCTTCACATTCAATACTATCAACGTGAATTGTCACAGCATGACAAGATGATTTGGATCTATTGGTGAAGGATGCTGTCATTGTTACTTTTGGCAGTCCAGTGATAGCCTTAACACCATCTGAATGTTTCCATGGTAAACACACACTGTCAAAACAGGGCCTCACAAACACTTGATACACCTTGCCAGGATCTAGGACCATATTCGTGAAGTCTGCATAGTCAGTGCCACTATCAACAATAATAGAAGATAGGGTTTTATAACATTGTGTCCGGTTTTCGCAGTGCATTCTTTCCTTGAGGGCAGCTTCAAAATGAGTTGTTAGCACTTTCCAAGGACCAGCATATGTCCAGTAAGATGACACTTTGTTCTTCGACAACGTGTAATCAGTGTCCAGAGAACACATGTGAATAGTTGCGTTGTTGGTGTCAACAGCAGAGTCAGTAATGTAGAACCGGGGATAATGTGTCAAAGGTACAAATTCATATGTAGCCAAGTCTTGCATTTTTCCATTCGACTTGAAGAGAACATCATCCGACTTTATTTTTCCACTTAAGGATTGTTGAAACTTAACAATGTATCTCTGACCAATACCGAGAGAGGAAGATGCTTTGTATGCCCTCGTAATATTGATGTCTAAAGTTGTATCTGTGTCTAGGTCCAATCCAAAGGTGTTGTAAATGTTAATATCACATGCTACTCCATCAAATACCTTTAGGAGAAATTGTTCATCAGATGGTTGATCTATAATAATGAAACCATCAGATGATGCATATGATGTACCACTTGAACTGGTTGCTCTTACCGTAGCATAATAGTTCACACGTGGTTTGAGACCTGGTGAGGTGATACAAACACTTTTGTTGTTTACAACTCTGAATGGACTAATGTCACTTCCATTTACAACAGCTCCCAACGCCACTTCAAATTGGACAATTCCGTGATGATGGAAGCCATTCCACTTAACACAGGACTTGTTTTGTGTGGAATGAAATTCAACATCATCCTTACTGTCCTCATGCAATGGGTCAATGTCATACACGATCCCATGTCCTGGTGGGAATCTGGATGGCACTGTAATCTTCTTTGTGTTGACGATAGTGAAATGGCCAGCAGAATTGTACACATACAGTTCAAAGAGAAATGGTTTGTTAAGCTCCGAGTCCATCTCTTGCAGTCGTGTGAGTGGATATCTGATGCAACCAGCATGACCCTGAATCTGACACGCTTTTGTGATGTGCTTTGGAGTTTGGAGAATAGGTGTGACATGAACCCCATCATGCACTGAAACGAAATTCAAAGTATTGGTTCAAATAAAACCGAGAAAGCCATTTCCATAATCACAAGAAAACTAAGAGACTAACAATTGATATTCTGTAGATGGGTGGGGGGAGGGTGGGAGAGGAGTTCTTGTATAGAGACTAGATATATGTTTAGCTACAGCTGCAAAACCAGTTTTAAAATAAAACAAAACGTTTACATTTTCTCAATAAATTGCCACTTTTGCAACAATGTATTTTTTATGGCAGGCAACTTCTTTTTGTTCAAGTGTCTGAAGCCTTATTTTATTTTAAAAGTATTGTCTGGAACAATTTATTAGTTCAATAAAATACCATAACTTGTGTCATTGGGGATGCCTTTGTCTTGCCTTCATGTCATATATCATATCTATAAGGAGCTCCAGTATTTCACATATTGTTTTATCAGTACCTCCGCAAATGACATTTGCTTTCATTTTGACACATTGTTCTGAACCTTTAAGATATAACTGCATCTAACGTTATTGGTTTATCCAAGTTATACTTTCATACCATAAACGTTCCTAAGATTAATTAACTCAAACATAGACACTCTGTTTATAAAAGGATGAGCTAATTATTTTGTAAGGTCTTACCGATTCTGTACAAAACAGTAAATTGGGAATCCTGTTGCTCTGAATCTGTGAAGGTCATATTGTTCCATGTTATAATGACAAAATCACCGCTTGATTTTGGTGATAAAATCTCAGTAACAGCAGGAGGTGTATTGTCAATCATCACTGGTCCAAACGTTACAACTGAAGTCAATCCAGCCTTATTAACTGCCTTTAGAAAAATGTAGAAGATGTTCTTCCCAGAAAAGCCAGCATGATTAAGCTTAAAAGAGTGACGTCCTTTACTCGACGCATAGTCCAGAATATCTGGATCATGAACTGCTGTCTTGTCAGATCCAAATCCTACTGAGAAATCTCGCATTTGGCTTTCATTCTCTGAGCAGTTCCATTGAAGTTCTATCTTGTCAGATGGAAGAAAGATCACAGAGTCTTCAAAAGATGGAAGATATCTGCAGAGGCTATCGGCCATTTCTGTATCATTCAAGATTCCATTAACCTTAGGAAAGATGTAAGCAAACGTTGATGTGGACCCTGATTTGCATCTCTGTGAACATTCACTTGTCTTCTGTAACAGATTTAGTGTTAGATTTCTTTTGACAAGCCAGAGATCCCCATTCAGGCGTACAACATGTTCAGTTGATGTTTGTGCAGATCTCAATATGACATTGTAAAATGATGGTGGTGAAATATCCCTGATGATTCCGTCGGAACAGGCGGCTTTTGAAGGAGTTAGGGCGGCATTGAAAGCTACAACGGTTGCATAATATTTGCTCGTCTCTTCACGAATTGTAAACTGCGCTGTATTTATGCTTCCTGGAATATTGATCACATCTGTAATGTTCTTCATATCGTCAAGTGTCAGACACTTGATGTCCAGACCGACCAGGTAGTTGTTGATACCACTCTCATGGTCAATAAACCCTGCCCAGTTGACCAACACAGTATCCTCACTTGTGTAGTCCACATCAGGACCGTCCACCCCTCCTTCTTTAACGGTCCCTGCTTCAGGTGGAGAGGTGTCCACAAGAATGTCCAGGTGGTCGATGGTCCGCAGATCTGCTTCGTTTGTTGACACGACCGTGAAGTAGAAGGCCTGGTTGTGTTGAGCATGATTGGTCTTGTTTGCCACAAGCCCATTCAATTTCACAGAGTAGTTGTGAAACTGACACTCTCCAATAGAGGGACAGTAGCAGCTGTAATTCGATGGACATGGCTGCAAATAGAATATAAGTATAAAATAAATAAATATATAACTAAATACTATACAATACAATATAATATTGTTAATCCGTTATAGATTAATGGATCAATCAGGAATATGAATTGTAAGAAATTAACTGTTCTAACATTTTGAACTACATATAGACCATATAACATGGAAGGAAATATAATCAGTTTTCAAACTAAACATCATGAACTGCTCTTATATTTTTAAAACCTATACCGCATAATCACCTTTCCATTGAGTTTTTCTACTGGCAGCACTCCATGGCCAAGGTCTTCGGATGAGTCTTTGGTGCCAAGATACCACTCTACGAATTGGATACCACTGTGAGGGTCTATGACATCAAACTGGAGCACCATGGTAGAAAGGTCGAGACTGTCGTGAACATACACCTGCTTGTTTCCATCTTTCACGAGCCACATGTTTGTGACATCAGGACCAGTCGAGTCAATATAAACTCGTACCGATTCCTCTACAGAGCTGTTAACAATGTCTTTAATCTTTATGGAAATATTATAAGAGTGACCATCAAACAGCTTAGGAGAGATGCAAAGTGATTGTTTGGTAAAATTAGGAACCAATGCCCAGTGTGATTTAGCGCCATGATCCACAGAAACAAAATACTTTGCCTCAACGATACCGTCAACGTTAGGAGTCCCAGAAATAGGAAGGGTTCCAGAAGTTTGGTCATATTCCGGGCTCACTTCTACCTGGGGACGAACTGGATCCAAAGGGTTATTGGCCCTCATTTCATCATTATAGTAACGACCTTTCCAGTCAACGCATACGGGTCCAAGGTTTGTCTGCCATTTGTAGCTCGATTTCTTGGTTGCTGACACAACCTGAAGAGGTTGTGAAGGGATTATCATCAGTTTGGAGGAGTTGTCGTACAACACCAATCGCCGCACATTTTGTATGTTTCCAGCCGTGTCATGTACCTCCAGAATGACTGCATACAGCCCATTTGCGTTTGGCAGGTGAATAGGTATGTCTAGCTGAAACTTGTTATCATATTTTAAATCCAAACCTTTCAGTGGCGTGTGTATTACGTCGATCACATTTCCTTTATGTTCAGTTTTCAGAACTTTTATTTTAGTGTACTTCAAACCCGATGCTGCATCAGTCTTTCCTCCTTTCGGAACCGGGTCTGACCAGCCAAAGGTTTTTACATGGAATACACCTACAATATTTGAATCACATTCTATCATGTATAAACATATCAGTCTTTAGTATGATTGTTTGCCCGTCAATTAAACAACTTTAGATATATACAGAAGCCATAAACATGAAAAATAAATAATGGTAAACATTATTACACAAATATTTCTTACATACCAGTTCGTGTAATGCGGGTTGATAGTTCAAGTGGTTGTGACATACAGTGTCCTGTGTTGAGTTTGGAGCAGTGTACTGGTTGCCCAATATCATACCGGAAACACAGCTGTTTGGTGGAACTCTGATGACTGTAGATCTGGGTTCCTACAGGATGTCCGTCAAAGTCCTGATACTTGAAAAATCCTCCACCAGTAGTAGAAAATTGGACGCATAGTCTGGATAATCAAAATAGCTTAATTTAACATCACCATACATAATGTCAAATGTGGAGAGTCATAAACTTAAGTAAAAGTTCAAATAGGGAATCTTTGGAGTCGCAGTTACATGTACATGCCAAAGAAGGGTAAAGTAGAGCAAAATATATATATATCATGTTCGTATGTGTTGTTTTACGTTTAACGCTGCACTCAGCAATATTCAGCTATATGACGGCGGTCTGTAAATAATCGAGTCTGGACCAGACAATCAAGTGATTGACATCATAAGCATCGATCCACGTAATTGGGATACGATGACATGCAGCAACAAAATCAGCGAGCCTGATCACCCGATGTCTTACGAAAAGAATAGTCGCCTTTTACGGGAAACATGGGTTGCTGAAGACGAGTCTACATAAATATAAGCTACAACTTCTTTTCCATTATCGTAAGAAATTTATCCCTTATCCATTGTGCGATTCCGACTATAGCATGAGCATGTGCTTTTCAATCACTATAAAATAGTGATGACACCAAGTATTCGCGAATAGATGGCACCCGATACAAACAACGTCAAGTCAAATGGTCAACTGAAAAAAACACGGCTGCATATGGCCGTCAAAAGTCAAACTAAGGAATTACGTAAGACGTTTTTTTCTCTCTGCCTTGTCAAATAAATAATAAATCCCATACATCTTTTTAAAAGAATATTTCCTCAGTTGACATAATGGCCTCATCTGTTGCATTTTTTGAAGGCAGTGTATAAATTACCTCTCTCCATCAAGCATGTCTATTGATATTGGTTGAGTTCTTGAACATGCCAGATTGCTAGATGGTGAAGTGTCACTCAGAGCTTTCGAACAGTCACTTCCCCCATGCAATGATACTGTAGACAGACTAGTCTCTGCTCCTGAATTGGAAAGCACCAAGTGAAATAACAGCGAAATTTAATCGTACACTGCTATGACGGATATGCATGTTTCAGATCATTTGCATTCAGCAATAAGACCTGATATCTTAATCTGTGGATCAACATCTGTCCCGATTGGCTGTCTAGAATATGGTAAATGGAATAAATAGTCACCATATGTATAATATTACAAATGTAGTACCGTTTATGAGAATCTTCTTCAATTTTGCCCATGACGTAACTATTCCATAGCCTTGGTCGTAGACATAGTTCGGGGGTTTTGTGATGTCAATGTTGTCGAACTTTGAGAAAAACAGATAGTAGACAGAGTTGGGCTTCAAGTTGACATAAGTATCTGTTTCATGTGAACACCTGGTGTTGGACCCGTGTGTGGAGTTTCTTATGCTGTGGTGTTCATCAGTCATTCCAATGTGGCAGGATAGAAGTTCGGGTTTGTATGTAACTGGGAATTTAAAAAGCACAGTCATAAACATGCACAAGTTCCGTTGTAGTTACAATTATCCTGGTGGCTTCGTTATATCAGAAATGAGATGCCATTATGTTATACAAACATGTATATACTTCAATCACAGAAGTGCAGTTTGATAAGAACCGAATAAGATCGTATAATAACTGAATAACTTAATAGTTTCTAAACCATGACATACGAAATTAAGAACTTTATCTCTGCAGACACTGCAAACACGAAAACGTCGTTTTTTTCCGTATATGGTCATTGGACGGAAAAACGACGTTATTTGGACGTTTTCAAACCATCGTTTTTCCGTCCAAATAACGTCGTTATTTGACATCGGAATTTACTGGGCGAGAACGATACCGTTAAGCTCCTCCCTTTCTTGATTGACATTGTCAATCAAGCAACAGCGTCTACCGGTATTTCTACTTCTCAGATTTCATTGGTCAGTCCTCGCGTGTTAGATTACAGGCCCACGTTTGACGCTGCACTCGAAGCGCTTAGCGGAAGTACTGAAATCAATCGTTCTGCGCATGCGGATTACTAAATGCCTTGACCAAATTTTCCGTTCTGTGCATGCGCGATTTCACGTATTGTTTCCTAGATTTAATGTCACCACTATTTGACAATGATTCATAAACACAGTCACGTGAAGGTTCGGAATCGTAACGAGTAACTCCATTTAAATTGAAGAGGATCCCCAGTGATATGGGAGATTCCAAGATGAAACTATTCTATGGCTATCTAGGCTGCCACCCAACCCGATCTAAACGGGACCCGATAGCTTATTGTATGCTATATAGTCATATGGAAAAGGACAAGAACTATACATTGTATTCCGGCCGATTGTTCTTGCAGTCAGGATAATGGACTTAAAAGAGGAGTTGTTGAATGTAATTATTTTAATTATTAAATGTTTCCTATACACTAATCTGGACGAACTTCTCATTGTTCTGTTTATGTCATCCTATATACTATTAGTATGTTACCGTTCTAAAGTCAACCTCTCACATAACATTATATTGTTCATAGTATCAAATTTTAATCAACAATATCAAGAGCAGCGATTTAAACCACTGAAACACCCAAACACAAGGCTGTTATCAAGCGCTAGTGCAGACGTGATGCATCGTAAAAACTGTATCGTGATGTCTTCAGAAATACAATTATACTACGAGATAGTACGGCTAACGCTGACTCACCGGTGGAACGAAGACAATATCGCTAATACAGATATAACGTATTTGAATGTTAATACTAAAGACAAACAATCATTATTTTTGCAGTGACGATATAACACTTATACACGTTTATTGGTAACTTTCATCAGTTTTGCTCTTCATTTTCATAACTTTGTTTTCACATATATATGTAGCAATACCCGACAAGCATGTCATACATAATTATGGGGCAGTTTTCAATCTTGTACTGACTTACTCTGGTGTTAATGAGCGAAGTTTATTGGTTTGTGTGTAAAACCCCGATTTTCTGGTAATCCTATTATTACTTAGTTTTTTTCTATCTAATTACACCCTGTTCTCTGGATCATGGCTCCGTGACTATCCATAACAATTAAGATGAACATTCAGTTCAAGTAAATGAATGAGTTTGTTTTGACGCTACAGTCAGTCAAAAAACCAATGCTGTGAGGTTTGATAACACACTTCTACCAGGTCGAACATCGTGGATCCTCATTTTCTGCCTAAAGAGAATCATAGTTCATATGCTAATCCATTTGCGAATACCCTCCCACTCAAGATGACCTTACTTGTTGCTAAATCTATCATCTATCCCCCCAATCTCACCCCCACGCCCCCCCCACGCCCCCCACGCCCCAACCACGCACGCACGCACGCAAACACGCACACACACACACACACAAAAGCAAACACGCACACACACGCACGCACGCACGCGCGCGCGCGCACACACACACACACAAAAGCAAACACGCACACGCACGCACGCACGCACGCACGCACACACACACACACACACACACACACAAATGACGGACCTAAATAACCTGGACAGGTAATACTGCTGATAGCCTCTAGTCAACTCAGCCGCGCCACCGCAGAATGTTCGTCCAACTCTGCAGGGGGCATTCTCAGTGGCTTCAAACGCGCTGAAATGTTTTCGCCTTGCATCCAAGATGGTGGACAAGTGAAATCGTATGAAATCTGGCTATTTTAGGTCCTATCTCTTTTTTGATTACCCAATAAAGTCAATTCATAGTTACACGGTTGTGAAGAAGCTTACAACTTTATAAGACTTATTCATCTCATTCCAATAGAGCTACTCACATTAAGTTGTAGTTATTATGTCACTGTTTTATTTCTTTAAAAATATATTACATGTTCAACAATAACAATTAAGATGAACATTCAATTTCCGATATAAGTAAATGAATAAGTGTGTTTTACGCCACAATCAGTCAAAGACCAACGTTGTCCGGTCTGATGACACACAATCTACCAGGCAGCACATTGTGTACACCCTATCCCCATTGAAGTCTCCACTGTGTGTATTCCTGGGGACGAAAAGGCCCCATGTACCTAGGAATTTCATCAATACATTCATGCGCGGCATTCTCATATGATCATATCGTTAACATGCTAATCCAACTCGAACTACCATCCCGCTCAAGATGAATGTTTTATGTAACACCCAACAGGCCCACATTTACGCACGCACGCACGCACGCGCACACACACATTTGGATTTACCAATCCCTGAATTGAGAAGACGTGCGTTACGAAGCTCCTCCAAGTCATCATCAATATCCGTATATGTCTGTGATATCATTACCCATCCAAAGCCAAATATACATTTATTGTGCTTTCTTGAAAACAAATGTTATAATTGGGATAACACTTTCTGAGTAAAGTACAGATTCTCGTACTCTCTTGGGTTGAGTCCCGTCTGGGATTTGAACCCACACTGTGAGTGAGGCACCCAATCGCCAGAACACAAAGTTGGCGATCTAACCCAGCCACCGAACCAAAAATGTTAGTCCAGACAGAGACCATATACCGATGGTATATATATCGGTATATGGTCTCTGGTCCAGATGACGTATACTTTGTGTTCTTCTCTGACAAGAGAAAAATGGCACGGCTTCTATGGCCGAAAGCTTTGAACCAACAATGCCTTTAAGAAAGTGGTCAACAGTAACACACATTATATTTGGATACCACTTTCTCAGTAAACTACATATTTTTAGGGTGGAGATAATAGACGTTGATGGTTGATTATCAATGGACAAATTAAAGCCAAAACTTAACTTATGAATGATTGGCAATTGGAAATGGACAATGGGCAAACGGGAGGCGGGTAAATCAGCGCCAGTTATCTGTTGGCTTCCCTTGTTGCGTTCCCTTCTTTGCTATCTTTTTACTTTTGTTGTTCTTACAGGTACAAATATATGTTCTCTGCCTCATAGCATTTCACCACCTGATGAAGAAGAAAGATATATTCCGAAACGCAGTGTTCCTCCGTTGACATCCATAAATATTTTTCCTTGTGTGTATCAGTTCTTAATGCCCTTCAAAGACCCAATCTAGCTTTGTTTTTAAATGTGGTGATATTTGCGTAGAATATGATATGGTCATGCCTATATACATTTGGGTCTTTGTCTACATAAGCATTTAGACATACAATTTAGAGTTAAGGAAATTGCTAATTCTGCAGGAATGAAGTACACGTCATAGCAAGCTGTGATCTTTATTCATACTTTAGATATTCGTAATGGAGATCTGTAACTGAAGTTTACCGTAATCTTCCGCAACTCTCACCTCCTGACCAGTTGAACGTCTCAGTGCATTCAGATACCATTGTAAAATTCCAGGCTGCCCCTCTTTCTGGGATGTTTTGACGGATGAAATCTATTACGTTATAATAATCTATGTTTGCTGATATATATTATGTACATGTTGTAAAATATTATTGATATTTTAAACGTGTAATTCGATGCATATGCAATGCAATGTGAACATAAGTGCGGATGCACGAAGGCGGTTATAGTCATAGTTATACTGCGATGGATGTAGGGGAATGGTAGGGGGGTGTATGTATGTATGAAAGCACGAATACCGATAGATGAGGGCGGATATAGTTATAGTTTGATGGATGTTGGGGAATGGTGGGAGGATGGATTATGTATGAAAGCATGCGCATGGATCCATGATGGCTGACGTGGACATAGTGGTGGGGAAAGAAGAATGTGATGTGTGTGTCTGTGTGTGCGTGCGTGCATGTGTGTATGCGTTGTGATACTAGGGTTGGCGAACATGTTGTCAGATGATTGTGTTAGTAAGTTAAGCGGTTGAGGATGTGGCAGGTATGAATATTGATACATGCAGACTTGGGGTTGGGGGATTGGGTTTGCCTGTACTGAGGTCTTTTGTTTCACTCACTTATAGTGTTTTCTTTCACTCAAATACTGTTTTACGCATTTTAATGACTGAAACTGTAGTGACTCAAAGGGCATACTGGCCGGGCATTCAACATATCTACCCCAACTACATACGTAGCCATTTTTATGGTGTACAATTCTTCTTCTACCTCACACACACACACACACACACACACACACACACACACACACACACACACACACACACACACACACACACACACACACACACACACACACACACACACACACACACACACACACAAAAAAAAACAACTCAAACACACACACAAACTCAAACACACATACACGCATTAATTGTTTTATTAAATGTATCTTCGAGAGTCAGTAAGAAACTAGAAATAACTGCCTTTGTTCTGTAAACCTCACCAAGTTTCAGCTTTCGCCTCTTCCTTTGTGGACTGAGGTTTCACATTTGTAAAATGATCTCTCTTATCTGTCTGTACCATCAACTTAACTGCCCTCACCCCCTGCAGTTTTCCCGTCCCATATTGCCAAGCAGGTGACCCACCAGGAGGAATACCGCCCTCCCTCAGTCCAGTGATACTGT